ACGCAGGAACAAGTACTTTTTCATTAACGACTGATGTGGGAACTGATTCGAGAAAACGGGCGAAACTAAATGAACAGTTTGTAGATTAACAAGTTTTTGGCACTGCGCGAGCAGATGAACATCAGGTTACGATTTCTTTAACCCCTGAGTCATTGTCTGCTTATTCTCAATTTTCCTCCTCATAGTTATTGATAACTTGACTTTGTTTCCTTTGTTGCTAACACTTTTTACGTATTGTAATTGATCATGGGATCACGAAGTTAAAAAACAGCAAATAAAAACCTGTCTGTCTGTCGATTGCTACCATTATGTCGTGTTTTTATTGTAGAGGGATAAAGTCGCGGAACATTAACCGGCGCAGATTTGTGTCATAATTACAAAGATGTAAATTGGGTAACAGTAACATAATAAGTGACGCGCATAGAACTTTGTTTATACAAATCTAAAAAAGTCATCTACGCGCAACAAGAGTTACTCGACATTAGGAACTCTGAACTGATTCTTCTGCTGACCACTGTGTTGCGCCACAAACCCCGCTTTCGAAAAAACCTTTTCACTAACTTCCCTGCTAATAAAATTATCAAAAAACAGATAACCAGATTGTTATTTTGATTTATGTAACTGGGACAACACTGAATGCAAACAATCAGATATTCGGAAAAATTTTGGCATTGACAACAATCAATTATGTTCAACTAAGTCCAAACCGGAAACTTTTGCAGGCGCACGAATAACATCCTATCATTATGGGCAGCCGAGTACTCACATAAAAACTCAACCTAACCCCTCTCAGAAAAGATAAGTATCTTGTCGCGTTATCCGAAGCTTTTCCAACATCCCGTTGAGGCACAGATGACGATATGGAGCTTGGTGGTTGGGGTTAGGGTATGTTTATAATATTAATATCAGCAACACAATCATAAGATAAAACAACATTCGAAGAGATTTAACGAAAGACCATGAAGGTACCACCGCTTTTCCGAAATAGAGATGGCGATTGATTGTGCCCCACCAATGATATTAGCGACGCACGACCACGACCACCACATCGCCACCACAGACACCAGACACGTTGAAGTAAATAAAGAAACCTAGCCAACAGATATCATGAAAAAAGCTAACAACAATCGGATATCGCTTCGAATCAACTCCAACTACCCGAGTTTCATTTGTCCTTAATTCATTCCATGCATTTTACAGCGAGGAATCTACTACGCATGAACTTCACAATGTCGCATATAACCTACCCGAAGGTAGCCTTGGCAGCTCCACTGAACAGGAATTATTCGTGACATTTATATATTTAGACAGCATATTCTATCAATTTACCTGTAATTCCATGTTCGCGCAAAATCTACAAACAGTTATTAAACTAACAGAATCGAGAGCTTGCTTATAATCCACTCTATTTACAGTCCCAGCGAAAATAATAACTGCGGTATTTTTTTAATATATCAAAGTTCAAGACTAATATCATAACTTGTAAATGAATGGCTTCCTTTTGAATTTATTACTATATTAATTTAAACCTAATTTATGAATAAATTCCGAGTAAGTTGACAAGAAGCAAATGTAAAATTAAACGGGACTGGATTTTTGACCGCCACTTAATCCCGTTTCTGTTCGTTCAACATGTTCCTTCTATGATGAGTTCATCTTTCCTCTATTATTTCGAGACATTTTTTTATTTGCAACTGTTCCTTTAGTTGAAATAATAATGAACGTTACCGCCGCGTTTATTAAATAAATATAATTATTACACACAAAACGAAATTTCTATTTTTTATTTAACTCAATAAAAACTGTCGAAAACTTTTTTTAGTTAATTAAATTCTAACCGTAACTCTCGTGTTCTGCATCGTTTGTTCTATCATTATTCTTATGAATTAGCTTTATTCTATTTCCTCTAATGTAAAATTCTTAGGGTTTTGAAAGTTAAGTGATTTATTTCGCGTTATAGATAATCTGCATCATATGTAACAGTTTGAGCACTTTCTGATTTTTAGTTTTTTATTTAACAAAAAGTATTGTTGTTATTCATTCTTGACTAGTAGATTGTTCTAGCTTTCTTTTACCTACCAAACAAAAAAGTAGTCTTTATTATTAGACCAAATAAAATTAATAACGTAAGCACACTCTTTTATAGTCACACTTTTGTCGAAAATCAACTGATTTCATAGTAAATTTACCCCTATATAGTTACTGCCAACACTATCCGATGGAAGTTATACAGTGACTGAACACTCTCCAATATCAATCTCGGATATCATGGGTTAGGGTTAGGGTTAGGGTTAGGGTTTTAAATAAATGGTGTCATATGTAATGACATCATCTCAGCGATTAGAATTACTACCGTTTTTAAATTTTATTCACACTTTGTCAAGATAAACTAAACCAATTTGCTCACTCTCTTATGAATTGTGGCTCTCTCTCACTTTGATAAAAAAATCTGTTAAAATTTTTTTGTTGTGGATATTCGATTGAGTATCGTCTGAATCGTGAGATACGTCTCGTATTGGTACGTAAGTAAAGTATTTATATCTGGAATCCATCATCGCTATCGATACGAGAAATTGCGGTGCCTTTTTGCAAGACAACATTATTAAGACTTTCTTCCGATACTGAAAGTACGTATACAATAGCCGTAATGTTGCAATCATAATTGTATGAGAAATACGTCGTATCAGACTTTGGGATATTGTAATTTCTTGGTGGTGGTTTAGAAAATATGGTTGTACAGTATATTGAATTAATAGAAAGCTATTGTTCTGTACATTAGAAAGTCTAGTTTGTTGATGCTATGTCAGAGATTTTTTTGTTTATCGTAGTAATCTTTTCCGTGGTTGACGGGTTTGGGTTGAGTTGGTTGATCTGGTGAACTTTCTTCTGATATAATATAGGCTGAGTCGATGTATCAGTATTAGGTTACTGCTATCGATAGTATCGTATCCGCTGTTTCCATTAAGGAACTGTACAATAGTGCTCTTTTTTCAGACGCAGAGGATGGTATTCGAAATTATGTAGTTGTATAAGTAGTCCGTTGTCGTGAACGTCGAGTTCAGCTATCGAAACCTTCGACCCTTAGTTCGTTCGTAGAGGTTTTTTTTCCCTACGTTGTGGTGAACCATTATGTCGAATTCGGACAGTTTCGCGGAAGGACCGCTTCCCTAAACATATTGATTTGCTCTGACGGTAAATATTGTCATATTGTTGCGTATTTATCTATGATAGATTGTGTGATGTATGAGGGTTCGGTATACGTGCAGTTGGTTATTTTCTAATACATCGGAGGAGAACATTGTTGTGACAAGCCAGTCCGGGTCTTCTTTAGGGACATAGACTTGGAGGTGGACGCGAATTGGCTCGCTTGCGAAATTAAGTAGCTTTAAGTAAAACAGTTTCTGTCTTAATTTCTTCTTTAACGTCGTATATGCGAATGGTAGTGAAATCGAAGTGGACAAGCATTGTTAACTGTATGTGTGGTTGTTGATATGGGAAGGGGGACTTCGAAATTAGAACTTTTGAACTATTAGGGAGATGTAAGTTGCGGGTGAAAATGGCTCTGAACATCCTTGCAGTTACAGAAATATAGCTCGAAGTTTTTTTTTAAAAGCCGAGAAAGAATGAGATCCCTTCCTTAAAAAAGAAAATGATGAGTTATGTATAATAATAATAATAATAACATGCATGCAAACCAAAACACATTAATATGCCCAATCAACATAGTATTGTTGTACCTCAGTTGGGGACCTGTCTCGGTTCTGGACCGAGACAACTGAGTGTCTGGGTTCGGAACTGAGACAACAAAACTATATATCATCGACTAGTGAAATATGGTATGCATTAAAACATACTCTATGTAAACCCCAAAAATATATTACGTCATCCATAACGTTCAGATACGCAAAAAAGCATAGCCGTTAGCAAAGACAAATAAACAAACTATTAACATAATAATAAAAGGTAAGGCAAAAAAACAAATACAGTCAACCCTCTCTATAGTCATGCTGTCGGGAACAATGCAACTTTTGTTGAAAATGTGCTTATAAAGAGGTTGTGACTATATAGAGGGTTTTTCCTACAAGTTCAATAGTAATTGGTTCTCAAACATGGTGTGCTTATAAAGAGGTTTTTATATGATGTGCTTATAGAGGGGGTGACTATAAACAGGGTTGACTGTAACACATACCATCTATCTTTCAGCCAATCCCCTAGCATGATCTTATAGCTATGAGAAATAAAATAAGAAGATTTTTCCCACTTCCAAAAGCACATCCTCCAATATCTTCGCTATAAATGCAAAAATACCTTACTAACAAATCGCCATACTTATAACTATACAAATACAATCTCACCCACCTTCCACGCTAATGCTCGCAGAAGAATAGATAGGTTAATTGAGGTAAAAATGTAACTTCTTCATGTATCACGGTCAAAGTCTCGAACTGTTTTTTGCGTGTTGTATCATGCTATGTCATTGTAATTAATAATGATTAGTTTCAGCTAATTCCATGTAAACAAAAGAACCTTTTTGATCATTTTCACAGCTTGTAAACTTTTATTTAAAGTGGAATTTCCAATTTTGAACATGAATATAAAGACAATACTAATTATCGACACAAGAGGCCCAGGCAATTTACTTAGTTGGAAATTGTTCTCAGTCATCGTGAGTCTGAGTTTGAGTTCGTCCCTTTCCCTCTTGCCAATAATAGTATTAACTCCTTTAAAGTGAACTTGACTTTATTTTTATTCCATTCGGGCGACTCTGTAGTATATCTTTTGTACCACCAGGGTTTGGCTATTCTTCATCATCATAGGCTAATCTTTCCCAGCATCTGACATTATCATGTCTTTGTGGTTTCGAGTCCTTTATTGACCACACATGGGTGTATCAGTCTTTGTGTATACATTCGGGATAGGTCGATGTCCTTTTCCGTGAAAGTCACGAATACGTCTGGATCTTCACCATAGTCAATAGCTCATTTTCTGAGACGTTCCTCCTATTGTGCCCTGGAGAGGGAATCACTTTGCCTCGTCCTTGCCTTTGGATTTAATCGGCTCATTGATTGTAGGTGAATCAGAAAAAGACTAGGACTTCTGGCTTGGGATCGAACTTCTGCCGGTAATGACCCGGGGACCATTTTGGTATTATCATCGGTGATGAGGAGCATCAGATCGATCGCCTTCTCTAGTTCACCTCTAGTTATTACCAGAATCTTCTGCAGCAGGTTTACATCGTGATCGTAGAAACGAGGACTCAACTCGGCTAGATCTTGATCGGACGATTCTTGCTTGACAGCAAAGCCCACTGGCGCGTCGTCGTACAACTCTTGAGCTGCTTCCAATACGTTACAATTATTTGCATGAAACACACGCGGTTGGGATTTCCGGAAAAATGCTTTTCAAGCGTCGGAGCCGATCATGTGCCAACGACGATGACGAAAGGAGGAGACACTGGTGACTTTGAACGTGTCGAAGAGAGCTCATGGACGTTTGCATTCCTCTGAGAAGCACGCCATTGTTGTTTTTTCTGATGCTTCTGATGTTGCGCTCGTGATTCCGAAGCCGCCGCCACGTCAAGTTTGTCTTCACCCTTCGAGGGCGTCAACGTAATAACCGGAAGTTCTCGTTGATCTATTTCCGAGTCGAGCAAAATTTTTAAAGCCCTTTCGACACAATACTTTCTCCAGTTTCTCGGGACAAATATCAGGGAAACAATTCTTCAGAAACTTAAATTCGTCATAATTTTCTTAAGAGATCTCAAGCCGCTCGGTCTCTTCGTCGGGCGCCATTTCCTCACTCGCGGTACTCATACTACATCCTGAATCAGATCCTTCGGAAATTCCCAGTCAAGTGGAGGTTTCACTCCAAGTGCTCCACGGAACTGTTCGCGACCGACAATTTAGAGAAGTAAAGAGCTCGCTTTTCCGTTCAAAGTGATATGTGATAGATTTCAGCTACCCTATAATAATTACGTGATCAATTTAGGTCACGAGCGTTTCAGCTTCAGCCCCACAATTATTATTATTATCATCAAGATGATGATATCACATTTAGGTCTCTCGTACAATGGTTCATATCGATAATAATAATAATAATACTCCTTCCAATTTAATTACATATTCCCACGCCTCCCTATTATATAAATAAAAAATTAACTGTTTGATACTAATAATGGCAATATTAATATGATGGTAATTACCTTACACTCTATTATTATTATTATTATTATTATTATTAAACCCTCCAATTAAATCAATTCTACCGTCACCAGGTTCATTATCAAGGTTATACCATTTGGCCAAGTAGTAGTATAATCACGTATTTTTATTTATATCGAAAACTGTTGAGAGCGAGGGATATTGAAGTATGTCGTTACAGGTGAGAATTCTCACTGGGTATTTGTTGAGTTGTTATGTATCTGAAGGTACGCTGTCACTAGGTGTAAAATGTCGGAGAATTGAAAGCGCTTCGTGGCCGCAGCTTGCGAAAGTTACCAGTCAGGTATCCTGTCCTGGCGTACGGACGTTACCAAAAGGTCGTCTTGGCCAGGGGCCGGACTTGTGGTGAATGGGACAATAATGATTAAAGTTCAAAAATGTAGATGATAGATTGATAAAGATTAATGGTTATACAACTTGTGTAGTGTGGTCTTTTCGTTCAGATGTATATTGAAGTCTAATTGATCTTTTATTATAGCTTCTTCTTCAGGGGTTTATTTTCTAATTTAGTGATTTGAGCTTGATCTCTCTCTCTCTGTGTGTCGTTTACGCTATTGTCATCCTTATCAGAATTATCACTTTTTTCTATCAAATTCTTTAATCTCCTTATCTGCTTCTTGGCCCTGCTGTAATCTCTCTAACTCACATTTCACTTCACCATTAACGATTGCTTCTAGTTCCAAAAACATGCTAGTTCACAAAGTCGTCGTCGTTTGTTTCAGCTTTAATGGTTTCCGCAAGTACGCATGGCATGCATTCGTCATCGTCGGTTCGATCATTGAACATATCCCCTACTAGGGAGAGCTCCGAAATAGGTGGCACCTTGCTTCTTGATAGAGCTCTGGTAATTTCGATTCAAGCCAATAACCTAGTCTGTTCATGTTCCTCATTGTTCCATAAAAGCGCTGAATATAATAGTGGTCGGCAGTAGTAGTACAGTGAACCCTCTCTAAATGCAATGGGGCCATATAACGGAAGGTTAGCATTTACAGAGAATAATAAATACTTGCGTTTAGAGAGGGTTCACTGTGACTATTCGCTTCAAACGTTCATATTCACGAAGAACTGCAGTATCAACAGAGGTATTTCTACAAACATTGCCGGTTTAATGCTGTACATGCCAGTGACTATAACGATAAGGACGCCTGATGATTATGATGTTTAATTAATAAAAATGAACGATTACACTTGCTACGACTTTCGCACCAAGAAATATCTGCTTATGGAGTAAATATCGTTGAAATTACCTTGAACAGAAAACACTTTTATGAACTTGTGCAGCGGACGGAGGAACAAAGAAGAACTAATAGCCGAAGACTGAAAGAGCGCGGGATTTAAGATTTGATTTTTGTGGCGCTTACCAGTGATTGTCTTTCCCGCTTTAGCCTACCCCTGTGGCGTTATGTTTACTTTATTATTATCTTTCCCCATTTCCGATATTCGTGTATAAATAGTGTACAATATTTCAATTTCCGATTGTCGCGAGTCTTTCGTCTCGACTACAACCTACAACCTACAGCATTACTCACTTAGACAAAATGTTAAACCTTGAGGAATTACAGGTGAGGAGCATAATCATCTAAAATTTAATAAAACCTTCCAAAAACGACCGAGTCATAAAGGGAACATGAACAGACTAGGTTATTGGCTTAAAGCGAAATGACCAGAGCTCTATCAAGAAGTAAAGTGCTACAAGGTGGTGAGAATTAAGCGTCAATGGACCACCTTTAAACTTTACAACTACATACTCACACGTATTTAGGAAAAGTTCTGCCCGCCCCTGGAGTTCTCCCTAGTAGAGAATATGTTCAATGAGCGAAACGACGATGACGAATGCATATGTACTCTTATGGTACTTGCGGACAATGTGGAAAGCATTAATGCTGAAACAGACGACGACGACGATTCTGTGAATTCAGAAGAAACTAACCATTTTTTTGGAACGAGGAGCAATGGAAAGGCAATCGCCAATGGTGAAGTGAATGTCGAAGAAACATACATTACTTTGAACGGAAACGAGGTCTTTATCGGACATGACTTGTCGGTCGCGAACAGTTCCGTGGAGAACTTGGAGGGAAACTTCCACAGGCTGGGAATTTCTGAAGGATCTGATTCAGGATGTAGTATGAGTACCACGAGTGAGGAAATGGCGCCCAACGAAGAGACCGAGCGGCTTGAGATCTCTAAGGAAGAAAAAGATAACGAATCTATGTTTCTGAAAGATTGTTTCCCTGATATTTGTTCCGAGAAACTGGAAGAATTACTGAGAAAGTATTGTGTCGAAGGGGCTTTGGAAATTTTGCTCGCGGAAATAGATCAACGAGAAATAGATCAACAAGAATTTCCGGTTATTGCGTTGACGCCATCGAAGGGGAAAGACAAACTTGACGTGGAATCACGAGCACAACATCGGAAGAAGAAGCGGAAAAAACAACGGCAGCGTGCTCCTCAGAAGAATGCAAACGTCCATGAGCTCTCTTCGACACGTTCAAAGTCGCCAGTATCTCCTTCGTCGTCATATTCGTCATCGTCGTCGGTGTTTTCGCCTGCGCATGATCGGCTCCGACGCTTGAAAAGCATTTTTCCGGAAATACCAGAAGCAACGGTATCGCATGTGTTTCATGCAAATAATCGTAACGTATTGGAAACAGCTAAAGAGTTGTACAACGACGCGCCAGTAGGCTTTGCTGTCAAGCAAGAACAGTTCGATAAAGATCTAGCCGAGTTGATTAGTAATTTCTACGATCATGATGTAGACCTACTGCAGAAGATTCTGGTAATAACTAGAGGTGAACTAGAGAAGGCGATCGATCTGATGCTCCTCATCGATGATGATACCAAAAATGGTTCCCGAACATGGAGTCAAATCGCAGGGTCATCAACATCTCCCAGTAAATCTTCAAATATTCGTGAAATTTGGGTAAGGGAGGATGACTGGAAGCAAAATGCTAGCTCTGGTAAGGTTATAAGTGCCTCACAGGCTTACGATAGGGACAAATCACGATCTCGTCGTCTTTACGACGACGACGAAGAAAAACGGTATAATGATGATGATGAGGAGGATTATGATGATGGCAGTGACGATGGACGCATTAACGATCCGGTCTATTGTCGAAAAAAGGCCGAAGAGTATAGGCGCAAACGAGACGAAGTATTCCGTCATGCTGCCGACGTGTATAAGAAGACTAGATATCGCAAGCGAAATGAAGTTTATGGCTACCCGGATCAAGTAGGTTCTGTTGATCATTCGGGTGTCGTCTTTCTATCATGTATGAATACAGTCATTGCTGCTCCCAATGAGCTTATGTCGTCCCTTTCATAACAGGGACGTGCGTATGATGCGAAGATGAAGGAGTGGAATTTGCTTGCTGCTAAAGCACAAGTCCGTCAGAAGAGGTTGCTAATCAATAATTTATACTCAGTGACTTTGTTTTGCTACTAATTACGTTTCAAAGTTGGCTTGTTGTAATCATTGAGAGGAATGAATATTAATCAATGTATACTTATCATTACATAGCAAGGCGAGAGGAAATCCCAACTTTGTAGATTTGCACGGATTGACTGTTAACGAGGCTTTGGCCGTGGTGAAAGAAGAACTGAAACGTTGGTCTTCGACACCTATGCGACCAGGTTAGTCAGCGTTTGATTGGCATGCGTTCGAATCGAGGACGATATTAATTTTCTTTTCCTCAGCATCCAACAAAAAACCCCTAGAAATCATAACTGGGGCGGGTAACCATTCACACAATAACGTACCAAAGCTTTGGCTCGAGGTCACAGATTATCTAGAAGAGGCTAATTGGGAATTTAAGAAAGATAGGGGTTCTTTCGTTGTGCGGGGACGAAAGGAATCTTCGTAACCCGCAATTTTGTTTTTATTGGCTGTGGTATATATATATATATATAAGTGCATTTTTTATAGTGGACCATTATTATTATGAATAAATGACAGATTAAAGGGATGGTATTACACCAGTATCCTTTGTCACAAAATAATTGATTATCCTATGAACTTTTGGTATTGCTAAATTATGAATTGGGTGTACAGCTTTCTGTGTTGTAAAGAGTGCGAGAAAATTGTTTAAATATATATGCTTTCTATTTTTCATCCAAAATACTTCGTTTACATACCACGAGATTCTCTTCTTTTCCTATAACGAGTCTCCCTGAAACATCTTCAGCCCACAAGAGAGATCTTGCTGTAGCATTAAGTTTTCCTTGTCTTTCCAACTCGGATGCCTTCTCAATGTCATAAACGACGTGATTTTGTGCAGTTGACAATCCGCTGAGACAATAGCAAGTATGGTAAAAATCAGGCCCTTTTGGTGGTTTATCCACAAGACCACCCTTTTGACTTTGGGCTGCAATAAGGATGTATTCTTGAAGAGCCTCTGTTTAAGATAATAGCTTGGTTACGCTCATCGATTATGTCTAATGTAATAATAGTTCCACTCGACTTTCGCTCACCTCTGTTGAATAATAGTTGACACGCCGATGACTTGATTGCTTGTTTCTTCTCTCTCAACTGTTGACGCAGCGTGATCGTTTCGAGCAGTGGATACAGTCCACCAACCCAGAACGAATAACATCCGTCAACAAGTTTGTTTGGTCGACCTTGGAATCCACCTTCAAGTGGCATTTGTAGAGAGACGGCCCATCTCTTTCATGATGAATTGTATAGTAAGCAAGAATAAGCCTTAATCTCAAGGGTACATAACGTATTCAAACGTAAACGTACTAATAACTTGGAGATGTCCAGTTTTTCAGAAGTTCCCATAAGTTCCATCGCAGCCAGACCGCAGAACGCGTATCCGCCGTGTGCCTCGATACCAGGAACACCACCAATACCGCCTTCGTATGTTTGGCATCTGGTCGAGTGAAAATCAATTTAATCAACCGTGTGCGCACACATAATCTCTTTTTTTTTTTCGGGTAATCCCCTTACTTTTTTATCCATTCTGGGGTTCCTTCGATCAATTCGGGTGTAAGTATATTAGTCAGCACTGCTATAGAAAGAGCGCAGTAGACACCACTATTAATCCATTCACAGTAATTAGGGCATTGTAACCAAGATTTCTTTTATACGTGTGCTTAAAACTATCTCTTACCGCACATCAACTTCTCCTCCTTTGTGCATGATATAAGATCCATCGGGCTGTTTTAGGCTCAAAAGCCACTTGTAAAGGTTCTCTCTGGTGTAATAGAGTCGATGAGTTAGCATTGCAAGGGGTTAAGTTTTCACATTAATATCAAATCGTTACCTGTCGATTACGTCATAAGCTTCTTGGGTTCCAAAAACAGCCAAAGCATTTACAGCAGCATATGAGGCAGCCAAGTGTGAAAGCTGACCGAATCCGCCACCAAAGCCTCCTGTCGGGTTCTGATATTTGGAAAGCATTTCGATACAACTGTATGATGTACATACATCGTTGGTTTAATAGATCCATTAAATAACTTAACAAGTAAGTATAGCATACCCTCGCATGAAATCGGGTTCAATCGTGCGTCCAAGGATGTCCAAAGCATGCACAACCCAATAACAGATCCATGGTCTACTAGCATCAAGGACCACGAAATACTTGTTCAATCCTTTTGATCCGCTCAACAAGTAATTTAGGTGACGTTCTCTCTCTAGAGTAACACTTGGTAGAATATAAACAAAGTTGCATCAAGATGTTTATCAAAAAATGGCATTACCTTCGATATTGGCCTAATTCAGTATTGTTGATTACTTACTTATTCAGATCGTCAGTGTCTAGGACTTCCTTATACAACTTGTAGACTTCTACTTCAGTTTCAACCTAACGTATTAAACGCATATGAAACGCATATTCGCTATATATATATCCAACATAATAATATTGTGTCAGTTGCGAGTTACTTGAAGCGTCCAAGAATGAGTTATGTTTCCATCGTGTTTGGTAAACAATGAATCCAGAGGAGTAGGCCCATCGAGTATACCCATCTTAAGTTAAAGAAGTCCTTTTACGAAGCTATATAACTCGAATGTCACGTAACAGAACCCTGGAATAAACAATGTTGGAACACAATGTATCAGTAGCACCACATGATAGTTGATACAGAATGTCGCGCGTTGTGACCGCACTTTAATTTCGCTCTGGTCACAAATGGATCATCTAGCAGGGAATTGTGCTGGCGAAGATGATAACGATCCATGGATTGGTATAACCATTTATACTCGGTGCTAAACAATAAATTATAGTATTCTAAGAATTATCTGGGGGTTTTTTTTCCTGTGTACGCGATATGCAGAGGAGACAAAGCAAGAGCAAAGTGCCATAGAAGAAAGACTAAGATCGGAAGAATACAAACTATGGAAGAAGAATTCACCATATTTATATGATTTGATTATATCCCATGTTCTTGAATATTCTTCCTTAACATGTCAGTGGTTTTATGACATTGATGGGTGAGCACAATTACAATCAACACCAAATACATTTCCCTTCATTAATATCGGTTATGGTTTGAATTATTTCTTATACAATATATATTTTTTTACTATTATAATAAACTTGTAGACCAAAAGGAGCTGATTATACGATACAACAGCTTTTGCTCGGAACGCATACTCCACCTAATGAACAAAACTATCTAGAAGTTGCCTCGGTACAACTACCCAGAGATAGCAGCCTCTACGATTCACGCATCCATGATGGCGAGAAGGATGGTACTGTGAATGCTTGTCCTTATTTGATGACTATAACCAGGATATGTTACTAATATAACCTTTAGTCTCAGCCAATGTCTATTTACCGATCACAAATGGCTATGGTTTTGGTGAGGGAGAAAATCGTATTAATTTGGTTAAAAGTATACCGCACAATGGGGAAGTCAATCGTGCACGATATATGCCACAGAATCATGACATCATAGCAACAAAGTCTATTGATGGCGATGTTTACATATTTGATCTTAAACAACCTTCACCCGAACCTAATGAAAATATTAGCTGTGGGCCATTCTTAAAACTAAAGGGCCACTCGGAAGAAGGGTTTGGTCTGTCTTGGAATCAATACAGACAAGGTCATATACTCGACACTTCCACAGACAAGACAATAGGCTATTGGTATGTGGCTCGCATGATATAAATGATTATCTACAAACGTCGTTCAGAATTTGTTATTACTCGTTAATAGGGATATATCTGGAAATACTGCGAAATCGGCATTAGATTCTACCACGGCAATAAATACAATCCGCGTATTCAAAGGGCATGAATCAGCCGTTGAGGTTTGGCAAATATGTTCAGCTTGACATCTGATTGACTATTAGGACACGGCTCGACCTATTTGATATATATGCAGGACGTTGAATGGCATACGCATAGATCAAGTATATTTGGCTCTGTAGGAGCAGACAAGAGATTTATGATGTAGGATAACACTTTATGGATCAATAGTATGCATTTATACTCCAATTACCATGATGCGTTAATTTTGTTCGTACACGTAGATGGGATACACGTAGTGGAAGAGAAAAACCAGCTTATAACATTGTTGCTCATGAGAAGGCAGTGAACACGTTGGCGTTTAATCCGCATAATGAGCATGTAGTGGCAACCGGAAGTGTAGATATGGTAGATGCAGAGTCATTAAATATCTATGCTTATCACACACTCGCTCCGTCTAAACCCTTTCGATCTCTTACGAACAATATTCCCTATTTTTTTTAGAATGTGAGTCTGTGGGATTTGCGCAACCTGAGATATAAGCTTCATATGATGGAATATCATAAAGATGAAATACTTTGTCTCAAATGGGCGCCGTTTGACGAAACTATCCTTGCATCATCGAGCGGAGATCGTCGAGTATGCATCTGGGACTTGAGCCGTATTGGAGAGGATCAAACGGCTGAAGATGCTGAGGAAGGTCCTTCCGAGCTACTGGTGAGTGACCCGTGTTGGTAGCAGCTCTGTTTCGAACGGACTGACCAAAAATTAAACGTCTTATTATTTATGATTATTGTCATAAGTTTGTGCATGGTGGACATACCGACAGAGTGAGAGATTTCTCATGGAATCCTCATACGCAATGGGTCATTGCAAGCGTCGCTGATGATAACATTATGCAGATATGGCAACCGGTACGTAACCGTATATAAGACATTTCCCATATGTACAAATTTTGACCGTAGGGCTTTTTTTTTTTTTTTTCATTCGAAATCAAGTCAAATAGCATCGTAATAACCGAAGATTTCGACCCATAAAAGTGATATTAAATTTATAAACCGTGAACTTGTTTGTCTAAAGATAAACTATCAAGTTATTATAGGCATCGAAATTCAATAACAGGAACGGAAATACGCAAGCCTCAATTTGCGCCACTCTCTAATTGGCTGTTTTTAAATTTATGCAGAACGGAACTATTGTTTTTATTATGAATATTACAAAAGTTCTGCAACCATTACTACTATTACTAATCTCTGCCAACATTCAACGCAAGATATTACTCGGTTGATTCCTCTGCCTTGTCACTCTTCTCGTTCTCATGTTTCTTATGTATAATCAGCCCTTTTCCTGACATCTCGAATGTCAAAATCCCTTGATGCATGACCGGGTCTTTATATTCTTTACAGCAATCAAACAAAGCGTCCATCACCAATTTTTTCATCTTTTTCTCAATATCCACTGTCGACCTCACTCTCCCTTTAGGCTTGATGGATAACCGCACACGATTTCCCTTATCAAGAAACTCCTGTGCTTGTTCAAGTTTACGTTTAAAATCGTGATCAGATACGTTCCACGTCATTACCAGTTCCTTACAGATGTTTGCCGCACTTCTCGGTTTATTTTTCAGCTTCTGGGCTTTTATCTTCTCGTATTCTGCTTTCTTGTCAACCAGCTTACAGATAGGAACAGTAGGATCGTCTGGATCCCGTGATACTTCTACTAACCAGTATTTATTACGGTCCATAGACATCAGGACCTCGCTTAAACTCCGCGCTCCTTCCATGCGACCCTCAGCATTCACAAAACGTATTTGACGAGCGTTTATCTCTTCATCGCGTAGATGTCGCGGTATAGACTGCGCTAAGAGAGCTGTTGAAGTGGATAATGGACGTTGTTTGGCGTGAATTATATAATACAAAGGGGAGTATGTGAGTGATCTGGAAAGCAGATAACATGAATGTGGTTTAAAGGAATGAATTGCTTGCATCATTGTCTCGCTTGATTATGCTGATCTTAACAAATAAAGCGGGTAAATTTATGTTTCACATGTCGATATTTTTTCGACGCTGTCACATGAATTACGTATTTTATTATCAAGATAAAAAATATATAAAGTGTCGATAATAATAATAATAAATTAATGGTAGAAAGTAATATGACTTTCTACTATAATGTTTCGGCTATTTAGTCAATTATAGTAATAGTTACTATTACTAAGAATAATAATAATAATAATAAATATTTTACTATAACAATTATAACAATAGCAGTAATTGTGAAAAGGTCTACTATACACTTTTTTATCTTCTCACAATCAACAATGTATCAGGTAAAGACAATGTATTAATATTGATAATAATTTCCCGCTCTCTCGATTTAGAACATGACTCTTTATCGGACACGTGAAATTGTTCGAGCAAACACAATATTATTAGTTTGATTGATGAATAGAAAAATGTGTAAATAGGAACTTTAATCGATAAATTTTTTTTCGGCAATTACCGCGATGGCAGTTTATATATCGACTCACGGGGGAGGTTATATAATCAATATTTTTTAAGCACAATTTTAGACCTCCAAAAACAGACAGGTTCTGTGGTAAACGCCGACATTGTTAGTGTACATTTTTTTCGCATCTAATCGGGCACCTTCTACATAGACAAGTTCATACTTATCGGCGGTCGTCATGAACCTGCGCCGTCTGAACATTTACGGTTTACGTGATTCCTTGAAGGAACCTCACCCGCAACGTAGTTTACTGATGTCACATGCCATAGTGTCACATGCCATAGTGTCACATGCCATAGTGTTGTCTCTAGGCACGGGTGTACGAGATGCATTAAGATGCGTCTTTTTAATGGACGTGATATCTTGGAGCAGGTTTGATGACCCAAGGAAAATGCCTTTATGCTAAAGAAGAAAATTCAAAGAGATGTTTGAAAAGAATGCAAATGCTTTTTATAAAGGGATAGTAAACATTACTTACAAGATTGGCAGTGTCTTCTCAATTACCAAGGAGACAACAGAAAGATGGTCACTAACAACCGATATTTTAGAATGGTATGGCGTCGCATTTAGGCACCGTGTCGTCGCGCAGAAATGTTTCGATTTTTGCGTGTCAGCACAAACGCTATTAGCTAAATTAGAATATGATTGGTTCTTCATAGAAATTACGATTGTTTAACTATTTTGACTCCGTTTCGATTTTTGAGCGTCGCTAAAGGTATATAAGCGACCCTTATCTCATTGTCGAATTCTAATGTTGTTCATGTTGTTAATGTTGTTAATGCTGTATATATTGTATATGTTGTATATGTTATAAAATATTGTTCAGGTTATTAGAACAATAATTCCCACTCCATGGAATTCCCTTTGAAATCGAAACTTTACTTTCTTTCATTGTGGAAATATTAATTATTTGATTGGACACACTAATAAACGGCTCATTTAAGCTGTATAAGTTGTCCGTTGATCTATTACTCTTAATTGAGGAACGAGAGCCAATAATTATTTATTGAACAAAAATTGTTTAATTAGTTTGAGACAAGTGACGGAACCCGACTAGTCGAAATAGCAAATCGAAGATAGCCCTGTTTAATATTAAATAGAATTTATTCCCCTTCAATTCCGCAGTAGATGCGCGCATTTAATCTAATTATATAAATAGGTCACTTAATTGAACGTCTACCGTATTAAGGGCGGAGCACGAAGCTAATCCCCCGGTCGGAAGAACACCCCTACGCGAAAAGATTAATCGCTCTCCCAAACCCCAGACCATCCGACCATAACAAAACCAACTCTTTGGGCTTCTTCAGGTGGTAATGTCCCCGCTATCATTGTTGTTGGAGTGAATAGGTATCACGTATGGATCATGAATAGCCTCTAGGCATTTTGGATTGCCTCTAAGACCAGTTTGCCATTTAGTGTGTACCGCTTAAACAATGCGCTCAATGAAGAAGATTACAAATTACCTTTACATTCAATTCATGAAAGATCGTCTTGTTTGAAACTGTCTATCGAAATTGCGGAAAAGCTTCATAGCTCTCTTTCTTGCCCATCGACAGAGCGAGACATGATCCGCTGTAAGTCAAAGATGGCATTTGAGTCCATACTTAACTTCTTGCTCGTGTTGCGAGGTCAACGAACGCTTGTTTGCTACATAACGTAGAGAACTTGCAAGATGCCATTCGGTTTCCGCAAGTATTCAGCAATCGCAACATCCTGAGTGTAACGACCAGCAACAAGTATTAGCAGTAGCAACAAACCCGCAATGAATATATAGAGCAATAATAGTTGATATGTTTGGCAGACAATTGGGACTCTGGAAAAAAACTAACACATCGTGGCACTTAGCACTAGGCGAACGATATGACCAGTATCTCAGCCGCACAGAGCTACACTGGATAAGAAACCAGTGAAAGGGCTGCGCGCTCTGTAGGGTCCCATTAAGTCCAGTATACTGGGAAAGAGACTGACACATCGTGGCACTTAGGCACTAGGCGAACCCTAGTGAATAATATGACCAGTATCTCCAAAACATCAGCCGCACAGAGCTACACTGGATAAGAAACCAGTGAAAGGGCTGCGCGCTCTGTAGGATACTATATGTGCCAAAGCAACCAAAAAAAAAAAAGATAATCACCTGTTGCCGTGTGTCGTGAAAACACAAGCGAACGTGGGAAACTCGGAAAACGATGTAAAAGTGATCCCGAGACGAACAGCGGTATCCACATTATTACTGCAAAAGGACAGAAACGCGCGTCCCGATTGTTTGACGCGGTTATTATTATGTATTGTTCGAGGGTTCCCGCTGTCATTGTCTGTTTAACCAAGTATCAGGGACACGTTACGCACCCATTGTCTACTAACTATATTTGGTGTTTGTACGCTTATCTACTGTTACCTAATTTAAGAGATTGCGCTAAACAAATGGATAGTCGACTTTGCGAGTGACCATATCTTGAGCGTCTGGCACAAAATATCTTCTGTAATGGCGGTATGTTTGTAGACAACAATGACAAACCCATCAAGTTCGACCCTGTTAGACACGAGAGACGAATAAGACCAAGTCTGAAGAAAGCACGTATTAGACTTCAAGACACAAATAATGATCTTGGTATTCCGTATTCTAATGGTAGAGGAATCAACTTGTCACTTAATGTGGCAGCTACAATTGGCGATTTACTTTTTAAGCTTGATCCCAATAAGCCAGTAGTATCTTGCGTTCCAGATGTATACTTTACCAGGCTCGACCGACTCTCAGATACTAGTGGGCGTGGATTCCTGTTAATGAGCACTGACGGGTTATTTGACCACATGACCAAGACTAGAACCACCGGGCTCACATTTTTTCGCCTCCATTCTTTTATAAAAAACCACTTTAAATTGCATTTGATACACAAAGTGTATTTAAAATCTACATGTTAGTAAAAAAGACGATATTTTGATAAAGTGTCCTTTATAATTAAATCAATTAATGCGACAATTATTACGCCCGTTCTAGGATTTGACCCGTTTCGGGATTGTCACATTAGAATAATCTTTTGCACCAATAAACTACATGATTTATGTGATAACGTCGAAAAAATATGTGAATATGTGACAATCTTGAAACGGGTTCAGATTTGTCTTATAACAATAAAAGTTGATCAACGGAAGATCGTTCGCACAACCGATTAAGCATATCTGGACATGCCCAAGTTTACGCGTCGAGAGCAAAAGGCTAGAGATTGCCAGACTGGGTAATTGAAACAAGACTCCATTCGAGAAGACATTAGAGACCATTGCGAATGCCACAACTGTCTTTTATTATATCGAATAGTGTTTGACGATTTTTAGCACCTCATTGTTCACTCTGTGTGACATCGACGTGAAACTGCAATTCAAAGTTCTCTCAAAATTGTCTAGTGTCAAAGTTAGGCATGCCAAAATGCAAAAACCTCGGATAGAGTCTCTCGTTCTTTTCCTCTGTTTCCTATTGACAGATATATTCTCAACAGGTATGAAAATATGGTAGAGATGTACTGTCGGATGTCCGTTTTGTTGACCAATATATACCTTTCGCGATTTAGCAAAGACACAAGACGTATCCATATACGACACAATATATGAAGAATTATACCCAATACCATGTGTTCGGCTATTAAATGCGGCGGGCATGATAGGGTGTCAAAGTAGGTTATTTGGCAATGTACATGTTATGCGCACATTTGCTCATTGACCCATAGATCTGTCTCTAATTCAATTCAATGTCTCATAGCCCGCCGTAAGAAGACAGGAATTTTATACTGGATAGATACTCAAGAAAGTTTCTCAGAATTTATCAGTAGTAATCCCTCCGGAACATATGCAGTTATCATGCCCTATCCTCTTGTGACAAAGTAAGTCATTTTCTCCGGCGTCTTTTACACATTATCATACCAACGAAACGTCGAATCCATCAATAAATTAAGCTCCTCTCCGTATATAAAGTGACAATCTTAATGAACTTGAATCGTCAGGGAAATTAGGAGGTGTAATTGCAATTGTCAGCGGCAATGTGGCGGATGTAAATTTATCACCAGATAAACTTTCCCTTGATTCGGTGTGCCCCAATTGTGAGTTTGGTTTATATCGCAATGACCCGCAAAGGTATCAGTGGAACCCTATTGTAAGATATTGTAATTTGATCTAAGTGTCGGATTAGGTGAATTCGATGTGAGTGGCTAATCGTATTATGCTTGTGTAGGGAAACGGTCTTATTTATAATAGCTACGACTTTCCTATATTTGCTTTGGATCCTCATGATCTTGCTACAAACAATACGTTTAATGAAATAATGGCGGTTGGTATTGGTACTTATGTCGACTTTTCTGTCCCACTTTTGATTTTCATCTATTTCTCAATCCGTTCTTTAGAGCGCCCAGAATAACTCACTAGCGGGATATGTAAATTTCCCATTAAAAGCAGTTGAATTCTCTTCTTTCATGTATGCCGCTATAGATGCATCGACTTGCCTTCGACGAGGTAAGGGATTGTTTAAAAATTAATATGCAATTCTATTATGACTCTAATTATATCCCCTTCCTCACTAGAATGGTGTCTTCCGGTGGGTGGTTTGTCTGTATATGCAACACCTTCGTTTAATATGTCACATGAAGATGGTAAGCCTATAGTCGTAGTATCAACATCACTTGACAGTCGAGGGCTTTTTCAGGATATAGTATTGGGTGTTGACAATGGAGTGTCTGGAACGGTGGCATTGCTAGCAGTGGCCGATGCACTAAGCAACGTGAGTGATAAGACTTTTTTTTTTCTTGGTTAGCGGGAAATAAGGATTCTCATTAATGGCTGGTTGACCGATACAATTGTTTATTATCCAGTCACCGGTACCGCTAACAGAATTTCCTAAACATATAATGTTTACTGCATTCACGGCTGAATCGTGGGGCTTTGCTGGATCTCAAAGATTCGTCCATGATATCAGCACGCCGTTTGACTGTCAGAACTCCTCCAAAGCGGCCAAAGTATGTCCTTACACGAATGCCGGATGTACGGCTCCTTGTGTGCGTGATCTGGATTTTACTCGAATTAATTTTGGCAATGTCGACTCTATATTTGAGATTAGCCAAGTGGCAACACTGGATCAGTCATATTATGCTCATGTGGATAATGCGAGCGATTCGGTGACTTTAGCGATTGTGGAAAGGCTATCTGCAATATCTGCAGCAGCAAAAGGAACCTCTTTTATAAAGCCTGCTTATGCAGACGGACCCAATAAGGGTTTGCCGCCATCGAGTTCGATGGCTTTTCTAGAAAAGAATCGGAAAATTCCTGCTATCGTGTTAGGTGATTACAAGGACAACTTGAATAGGTATATAACATATATTTGTCTTATTTAGATTGAGATTGGCCATAACTGATTTCATTTTCCCGATTATCTTTTAGTTTTTACAACAGTGAATATGATGTCAAATACACTGCAGATTCTATAGCGTCAATATGTGCATTGGCCAATGTTACTGCACAGGCTGTCTGGCTTCAGGCTCAAAATAAATTGGCAAACGAGTCGACTGCCCCCGTAACAGCCAATTGCATGTTGGTTACTAAATTAATGGAATGTCTCACGACGAATTATTCATGTCCGTTAACGAATCAGTTTTTTAATGGTATGGTCTCATTTTCGTAGCATAATCGTTGCCACCCATATTCCTACACGCCCACGTGTTACAAGTTGACGGTCAGTTTTGTAACCAAAAAGTATAATCTCTTTTTGTAGCATCCGATTTAGGACGGGTTAGCCATTATTCATCTGTATTTCAGTATGGAACGCCGAATTTACTACCATTATTTGCATACAATTTCCTCGCAAATGCAACGGCAGCGACACGAAGAGGAGCATGTGATACGATAACGGATTGCGGTGTAAGTTTATTGCAAATATCAATTGCCTTTAAAAGTAACACATATTAACATCTTCGTGTAAATATAATAGGATGCAGAATTATGCATCCAACACCAATGTGTTAAGACATTCACTAGATATCATGACGCGTATGGAATGGGATTAGAAATGGATGGTCATGGCAAATTCTTTGTTGCTGATCCTGATAAGCCAACTTGGGTTGAGAGCGTGTATGTATATGATTTATTTGAAGGTTTATAATCCGAATGAACATGTTATTAATGTTCAAAATGTTTTGATTGACTATATGTAGGCGAGATCCGGTTGGACTACGTCTGTTCAACATTTCTTCTACGATATCTCAAATAATGGAATTAATTACCGGTATAATAATCACAATAGCAAGCATTGTCGCTGTTATATACAGTAAACGATATTTAAAGAAGACATTGAAAGTAACATAGTCATAAGATAAATTTAATTTATTAACTCTTACTATTACGTTTTTATCTAATATTTCGCGAGTGTCATTTCCTAATTAATTAGGAGCTTGCTACTCATACTGGCCAAAAGTATCCCATAATAAGCATCGGTGGTGTAAGAATACGATGTATAATAAATTTTATCATTGGACTCGCCAAAAATATGAATACTGGAATAGTCTATACAAACCCCTGCGCCTGCGATCATTCACCTGCACTCAACACCTTTGCTACTTACGGAAGGATAAACGAGTTTTTATCATGTTTGCGGGCGATGATTTTCTTGAAACATGAACACTTGATCCTAGAAATAGCGTACTGTTCTAGACAATGCAAAAATTCATCATGGAGGGGGTATGGGTTACTCTCATTGAAAGATTAGGTGCACGCATGCTTTATCTTCCTCGAATTCAGCTTTTGCTGTAATCGAAAGAGGGGCATCGTAATTTCGTCACAACCTGTGTCCTATCCCAAGTGCATGTGGTCAAATTACACCTGACATCGCTCAATCATTTTTCAAGTATCAATTTATTTTTGATGAATAAAACTGACTAAATACTTTTTGCTCACGCCCCAGCTTTGAAAGTAGTCTGTGAAGGAAGTTGCACATGGTGTCCACGCCAGCTTCGTAATTATCATCATCATTATGACGCTTTTCACTAGTGTTTCGTGCATGGATGAGTTTTTATCTTTCTTTTTATCGATATTCACGGTTAACCGTATAGATAAACAGTGATTTCCGAAAATCCAAGTCGCTCAATTATAAGAGGTCTTACATCATTATGATAGACCGTTCCAATATGTCAGTCCCAACCCATTACGTTGTAAATGGTAGATCTCCCGCGCGTCTCGACGCTTGTCAGGATCAGCATAACACATCGTAATCCGGTCATGGTATCGTATAGTGAATCTCTATCAAATAATAATATCAAATGCATATATCTCTGGTTTCTTCGTAAATCTGCAAGCATGGAAAATTTCCGTACTTGGCGTGACTTTTGAACTATTTAAACAAGAACAAATACACAGTCAGATTAGATATCACTTTAGTTAATAATATCGAAAATGACCTAACCTCGGAAATAAATAATTCCAACCTTTCACCAAAACTCTTAAAGCGCTTGAAAATAACAAGTGCTGGCATAAATAGGCTTTATATTTGGCGGTATTAGGATAGGAAGTTCCGTAACTGCCCGATTCCAATTTCTTTAATCTCATAAAAGTCGGTAGACTGCATATACAAAGACATTTTCTATGTCGTCCAATAGAGAATGTTCGTCGCGGTAGAGCAACTAAGTAATATTCTCGAGCTGATGTTCTACAAACAATCTAAATGTTAATATCTCTGAGTATTCCTTTTCTTGCTATTTTCTAATTCGACAAGTACCTTGAAAAACTGTTTAACACGCGGTTCCTCGTTCTCTCAACGATCTTTTGAAATGCTATTTAAGCATTTTCTCGTGCAGCAGGGCCTGTTCCTAAGGCAGAACTCTCTTCTGCTCTGCAAAGCAAAAAGACACCGTTAACCATTACGGGATGCCAATCAGATATTTTGGTTGATGTCAGACCATGTGACCTACATAAGAGAATTGGATTGTTCTATTAACGCGAAAAACAATATTAGCGCGCGAACAACAGCAGCTTTGCTCTCTGAGAAAACATCAGCCGATATATACGTTTAAGACTGATAATATAGAGGCCATTGATATTACTATAGTTAGTTGTTAACATCTTCATCTTTATTCTCCTTGTCAATCTATGCTTCTAATGTTTCAATGCAAAATTTTAAATACTGAGGTAGAGGCAACAACACTTTTCCATTGCGGGAATTTTAATAGCCATTTTTCTTAATCCAACTTCGCTCATGAAATGGTTCGTAGGGATTACTATTCTATCAGAATTTACAGAAAGAGAAGAAGAAAAAATCAATGAGGTGATTTTATCATTTTTGCAAGTTTCAGAATTCTCGCTAGTATGCCCGATATACGGCGCTTGAGAATCTATTCCTTTCACAATTGCCTAAAGGGTCTTTTCGAGCAATTCAACGACAAACAAATGGCTTTAAACTTTATAATACGACTTTGAATCCGAGTGTCTTCTCTCATGCAATCATCGATGTTTTTGTTGTGATTGCTTCGAAGGAAAAGGGGCGTAGCAAAGCTTTAGAGTTAAATTTCTGCTTTTGTTAACTATTCTTAATTAATATTAATATTGATGTTAGTTAAGGCAATAGTCGATATTAAAGGCAGCAGTACGGTAAACGCTATAAGAATAAAGATTATTGGACCAAATGCTCTTTAAAATAAGAGTAGCACGTTAACTACAACGTTCTCACTAAATACTATGGACTCGGAATGCGTTAACTTTTCTGGCACGCCTTTTGAATGATTTGCTCTAAAGCTTCGTTTTATATGGACCGCGTCCTACACGAAACGATAAATCCAATTACTAAGCACAATGATAAACGGAATTACTAGAATTGCAAAAGATCGCCTCACTTAGTACTATTGTTTCAGATTGTCCGCAAAATTAAATCTCGGGGGAAAAAACTCGTTTAGAATAGCCCTGAATCCGTTTGTGTGATGAACCCGTAGTACCAATCAATCAATTTTTACTATGTGTGGGAACACCACCCCACACAGTCCTTACTGGAGATCATTTACTTTGTTATTTACTTTGGGCTAACCGGTTAACGTAATAGTAGCGAATATGTTACTTTTTAATAAGTTCCTCGCGATAGTTACTTTTTAGTAAAGTTATACTGTTATGGTAAGTAATCCGTTGGAATGGTGGCAAGCAGTTCTCGGCTTAATTGCCATCAGATAATACTCGAACCGTTGCCAAATTTAGAATTGACTTTGTCATTCCGGGTAAGTCTTGTGAAATAAGCTATCGTATCTGATGAAACCGCTAGGATGCTTGAATATTTGACATTATAATGATCTTCATGTGAAATATAAACAATTTCCGTTTTAATCGATACCCTTCCGCGAAAAAAAGATGTCTATTTACGTTTCTTGATTATCTGACATCGATTGTCCTTAAAGTTACACAGCGCAGCTCATGGGCCGCAAGCTCAGAATTCTCAAACGCACATCAATAGTCAGAGATCCCGAGATTAACACACTACCCGTTGTAAATAAACGTGGCAAGATTATTGGCGATATGGACCTGAATACCGGACCGCTAAATTCAATAATATTATCAAAAAAAGAAAAAGAAAAAAAAAAAAAAAAAGTCCAAGATCACACATCCACAGAATTCGTACGAGCGCAACCTGACGATCTAAATAGAAAGAAATAAACAATTATGGCATCATATCTGACCAATCAGTTATGATGGAAAATCTCGATTTTTGGATTATTATAAATTAGATTGCTTTCCCTCTACCTTTGCGATTAACCCATCCCGTTCATTTACAATATATTGACGAAATGGTATTACGTTTAGGTAGCGTTGCTCCCAATTTCCAAGCCGTCACCACCAAGGGTGAAATCGATTTCCACACGTATATTACCGGTTCCTGGGCTATCTTATTTTCCCATCCGGCTGATTTTAGTAAGTAAATGCTTGCGGGTGTATGTGTTGTGTATGTGTATGTGTATGTGTATGTGTATGTGTATGTATGGGATGCCAAAATATAAGATTAAGCGTGTGTCGTTGCAAGAGCAATGGAAATCCAGTTAGATGGACATCTTGAAGTAGTATGCCCTTCCGTGTGGGATTCCATATTCGGTCATCGTGTTTTCATGCTTCATTTCTAACCCATCGCACTTGTTTTTATTAAACTAAAAAGCCCCCGTGTGCACAACCGAGCTTGGTGAAGTTGCTCGCCGTGCTAATGATTTCGCCGAACGTAATGTCAAAGTGATTGGTCTCTCGGCCAACGAACTAGCTGATCACCAGAATTGGATTAAGGACATCGATGAAGTCAATAACGTCCATGTTGATTTCCCTATCATCGCTGATGCTGATAGGAAAGTATCCGCCTTGTATGATATGTTGGATTATCAAGATATCACGAATGTCGACACCAAGGGCATCCCCTTCACGGTCAGAAGCGTGTTCATTGTAGATCCCAAAAAGGTCATTCGGTTGATCATTACATACCCCGCATCTACCGGTAAGAATAGGATCGTCGTTTTTATGTAAAAAAAAAAAAAAAAAAAAGTGATTTGTGTGTTAATATTATATTATTGTGCTTGTAGGCCGCAACTTTGACGAGGTCATTCGTGTCATCGATTCCCTTCAACTTGGTGATAAGCATCGCATTACAACCCCAGCCAATTGGCGTAAGGGTGATGACGTTATTGTCCATCCTGGTGTCAGCAATGAAGAAGCGGCCAAGCTTTTCCCCGGTTTCAGAACTGTCAAGCCATATCTGCGATTTGCCACGTCTCCTTTCTAAATAAACGCAATTAGTAGGCGTTTTATGAGATTTGTTAATTTGTTAATATATTTAAAAAACCCCCCCAAAAAAATATGTATCAAAAATAAAGATCAATTAAGTTTTGTAAGTCGCACATTGTAAATTTAGTATATGAAGCATGCTGCAATAACGATTGTATGAAAGTTAAACCCTCTATCCCGCGTATCCTAAAGCGTTGCCCGTCAGCAAATCACATCGTAATATTTCATCTCATAGCCCATTTAAAAAGGTGTTCACGTTTCTTTTCTAGGTCGAGATGCAAATTTACGAGGAGGCTGACCGACTTGTTGTGAAACGCAAGACGAACTGTGTATAGATCTTGCTAGATATAACATAACGCCTATCTAATTTACTGTTAATTTCTTTTTTCAGAAGGTATTCGAACGTGCCCAGCGAAATATTTCATCAGCAAAAAGCTGAAATTGGCCATTTCTAAAGCTGTAAATTGCACACGCTAATAATATGGCAGCTCGATTGGATATACGGTATAAAAAACGCGACTTTATATTGTATACTCTGGAACACATAACCGACCTTTACTTTCCTGGTTATTTATTCGATATAGTTGTAAACCATTATAATTCCTATATCGACTAGGAATATTTGCTTCTGTCTCGCAAATATTCGCGTGGCATTGCAATTGTTATGCGTCTTAAGTATAAATGTGTTTAGATAGTTATAGGCTTCCAAAATAATCCCATCGGAATGGAATAGTCGATTTCTCGAGGGTGTGAATAACCATCTAGGATTAGCGTCTACTGATCGACGCTAGGTCGTGAGTAGTAAACCCATAAAAAGTCACTAACTGTTCGTTTGTATTTAACTAAGTGGGACAAGTCACAGCTAAGTAAGCTAATTGTTTGCTCTCCCGTGATTGTTGACTCGACAGATAACAAGTGGCCCTTAAAGTTTATAAGACCACTACATATAGTGACAGATGAATCTGGTCTGCTTAAAGAAAAATCTTCTTAGCAAGAGTCTGCCTAACTAATATTAAATAGTGACGTATTCTACCCGTTACTTTTGCGCTCGGGTTCAATAACAAGACCATTTCTTAAAAAAATGTAGCTAGATAAACGGTAGAAGTTGTAATTTTCACTGGCAAACCTATTTTGAATCTTAGTTCACATGATCTTCACGTTTTTTAGTTATTTCTTTCATTAATTCGTAATATTCGATACTCTAATAATCATTTATTGTTCGAATATAATAGAGGCCATAAGTATCCAAACTCGGGACAGGATGAACAGACGCTTTGAAAATTCCCTGTGTATAGTGTATAACAAACCCGTAAAATTTCAGCTCGATCGGATGTCTCCAGCAAAATTTCCAAACATACAGTATATCTAAAACATATCAAAACATATCAAACCGCATGTTTTGTTTGTCAGATTTGCTCTACGTTCCTTGGAATTAACCTTGGAATATGTGTCTAATTGGAAGAAAATCACTATACTTGGTAATGATATAATTCAATATCATCATATCGTACGATCATTTGCATTCTGTAGTAGTCATCACACAGTAATTTGTTCAACAATTATATGAATGCATTCTAATGGTACAGAAAAACTAATGAAAAAAAAAAGATCACAAAATTTGGTTGGAAAAGTGTCAAGATATGAATTTTGAATTTTTATGGCCATGGGTATAAATATGCCTCGAGGTAAAATATTTGGTGTTTGGAAAATTACGGAAATTTTCAAAGCGTCTGCTCATCCTGTCCCGAGTTTGGATACTTATGACCGCTACTGTAGTTTAATTCAAATTCCTGGTAATCGCGTGAAAGCGTTGATCCATCTATCAGTCTTGTTCTCTCATCATGGATATTGCTGATAATTTTTCGCCGTAATAATGAATGTTGTATTTTATTCTGTCAAACTTGTGTATTTTCAAGACGATTATCAATAGATTATTCCATAAGGACGCCAGAACATAGGATGTCGGGACATATGGACGCGTCGGGATTTTGTCACCTGATGTTGCGGAGCTTCATTTATCGTGCCATCGAATATTGGCAACATATTTTTGACAAATGTAACCTAAGCAGATATTTGGTTAAAAGCATGGGAATAACTGTCAAAGGAGTGAGAGAAACAGACACGAGAAAAAAAGTTGAAACTGTCATTTTTCGGACTGAACAAGTAATTCATTGTCCACATTCTCCTAAAAATGCCGGCGTTTGATTTAGAGAATAAAACATTGATACTAGATAATATTTCAATGCTCTACAATGACGCACATGTACTATTGGAAAATTTTATGCGGCATAGAAAGCTTTCTAAAGCATATGCATATATAGACTTCTAAAAAAAAGGTGGAACTGTCTAAAAATGTAGAACTGTCTATACCACTAGATGTAAAGACTATTCAACCAGGCATATGCTATTCTCTAAACGCTTTAAGGGTTTTTAATAAATAAGACTATCAGAAGTAGTCAGTTTATGATTGAATCATGTCAGCCATAGCACCTCGAATAGGATCATTACAAGTTGCGATGAAATCACAATACCTCTTTGAAAATGGACGCGAATATGGAGGAAGATAAAACACGTGTCTCGGCGGGATTTATAGTCAGAAGTTAGCAGATAACCTTTTCAATGATAGCGACCCATTCCCCTCCATGATGAATTTTTGCATAGTATAGAACAAGTACGCTATATTTGGGTCTGGGGTATCGATTTAAGCATATTCAACTGAAAATACAGCGGAATGAGTTACTACGCAGTCCTTTTATCGGTAAAGGTTGGAGAGTTATATTCATTGAATAACTGATTTTCTTGACGAGAGCGCGAAGGATGAATGGACTTTATTATGAGGTTACGGCTATGCATATGTGCCCAAAAAGATGTAGTCTTAAGTTTTTGTTCATGGAAAACGATATGCAATATTCCAGCACTACTACAGAAGAAATTGTTGTGGTGATATTATACAATATAACTATGATAAGGAAAATCCAACGAGTTCATCTTGCCACGGGCGATAGTTTGCTTAGTATCAAGCTTTTACATCTTCTTGTCGAAAGAATCCCTCCCTGAAAGGAAAAGAATTAACTCGTCAGGAGGAGCTAATTTTCAAATGCCGTATTACGGCACGACATTAAAGTAACGCACACATAAGAGTCCACTTTAACGTATGTCATGAACAAGCTAGTAAAGTAAGTAACCCAACACTCCCAACACTCCCAACACTTATACTATAATGTAAAGTAATACTATCTTAACAATAACCATTTCACGTGTTGGTTGTTATGATCACCGATTCTATTGGCTGTTTACACATTCAGTTTTGCAATACCACATGCACCCCGTTCCTACGTGCAGATTTAACTATGGTATACTTACAACAATGAGTATGCACAGTTTTTTAACATACTCCTGCGTACAATATCTAGGTAAATTCTCATGTGCTTTACTTGCAAAGAAAGAAAGGTTTTGCTCCTCAAATTCTGATAGTATAAAAGAATCTTATATAAATACTTGTATACTTGTTCGAGACAATGACTTTCAGTCAATTTTGTAGAGCAATCCAATCCACTATTTTATCAATCATCTCCATCTTTCTTTCTGGTTGTGGCTTTTCACAAGTTATATGCAAGCAGCCTTGTGTATGGGTATCCACAAGCAGCAAGGGTGGTATGATAATCTGCTCGGCATCAATCAGATACTATTTATGACTTTGCCGGTAACCAATTTCGTTGTTAAAAAGAAATTCTTTCAAACAGACGTTCACAAATAGAATAATGTTATTTGCGCCACTGGAGAGGAAAAAAAAAAAAGCTACATTACCAAACAGTTGCATTGGAATCCGGTTACAAACATCGCACAACAGCAGAATGCCCTTCAATAAAATACTTGATTTGGTTTTTTGTCATGTATAATCAGGCGTGTCTGAAAAACTATGAAGTTTATTCAGCTATAATCTCAACATATCTACAGAACACACTCGTTACGAAAGCTATTGACAAGTTCGGCCAACAATAAAATATCGAGTGTCTTTCCTTCACTCGTTACGATCTTTCTGGTGATCCTGACAATTATCGAAACGATTATCGTCACTGTGGTTATTGAACTCGCAACTATTTGGAGAAATCGGAGTCGGAGCTTGAGCTATATATGCGTATGAGTAATCCAGTGTCGATTCTTGAGAGTGAAGGACACGATCATTGATCGCGTTAACTGGTAATCCAGTATTGTGAAGCTGCCTGCTTTGAAGACCAGCAGGACATAAGTTTAATCGAGAAAGACCATTTGAGAAATGGTGGTTGGGATAGAGAGGGGGTAGGGGATTGATATTGATGGATGGATTGTCGGGATGTTTGATTGAGAGTTTGTGGGTGCACCGATTGGATTGGTCGTCCTTATTAGATGGAGTGTTGATGTGGGTCAAAATTCACGTTCTATCGAAACATTACGAACGATCATTGTTACTACCTCGATTGATTTTCCAATGTGTATTAAACTATCGTGATGCCAGTTTACGACAATAAGGTCGTCGTCACTTTCTAGATGCGTGAGGTTCTGAATGTCAGACCGATACAAGACTGCTAATCTGTATATTCAAATAAATGATAAGATTATATGGTGCATATTTGACAAGCAACAAATATCACGTGATATAATAAGAACCTGTTTGTTTCTTCTGATTCAAACATCTTTTTAATGTCGGCATCAATTTCATCCCTACTTTCCGCAATATTCTGGCACTGTGTCTCAAGATCGGCGTTGCGCTTTTTTAGATCTTCAATTCGTCGCTTGAAACTCGAGCTTGTCGACGACGAAATTGCGCCTCTTTGTTAAAAATAAATAATATTGTTGAGCTGATTGATTCACAGTAGCGTTGCAGTGAATTGATTTTGATGACTTACTTCCAACGCACATGGTTTTTAGAATTCTTTTCGATTAATCCAATCCCTTCGAGGACGTTTGTGATATCATAAATGCGTCGCTTCTTGACGTTCAATTCAACGACGGCGTTGTTTAGATCCAAGACGCCATCTAACGAATTCCTTAACATGCGCACAAATTTCTTCGTGAGCAGAACAAGGGAACTTTCATAACGGCATGGACCACGGAGGTCTGTACAATAATATAAAAAAAGTGCATTTATTTTAATGAGCTGAATAATTAGCGAAATACTCTGCTGATTATCGCGTGAAACAATTTAAGATAAAATTATGTGACACAATATATATGTACGTTCTACTTTTGATAATGTTTTCGCTCGTTTTTATTAATATTTTGTCACTATTATTTACCACATGAGTCGAATGATTGTTTCCTGGGGGGTATTTTCTTACGGATTGAAGGACATGTACGAGCGCGTGTAAGGGTGTTTTTGGACGTTTTTTGTCTACGGCAGTAGTCGCTACTCATCGTTGGTTACGGAAATGATGGATAAAGAGTGAACTGACGAATGCCGTGCCAATATGGTGTAATGATAAAAGGATAGCGGTAGTCGAAGCAGGGAAATAGGCAAAGAGAAGTAGTGACTGCATTTAAGCGTTTCATTCTTTGATGCAACATTTTGTCGATCAACGCATCGCTACTACTATGTCGCAGCTCGAACCAATAACAACTCTATAAACGCCGAACCAGTGCATGCACGGAATGGGCCCCCAGAATCAAAGTAGCGACTGTGTTGGATAATAGCACATGAAAATTATGCCCTCGAAAGTTTACGTGCGTCGATGAAAAAAAATCAACATGATTAAAGTTCACAATTGTTACCATACCAACAAATGAATGACAACTATGACGGCTGAGGCGCAAAGTTGATTCTATTTGTCCAGCCCTTTACTTTCTTATATATATAATACTTGTTAAGATTTTTACTTTGTTAATTTCTTATATTGTAATACTTTAATTGCTTGCTTTCATGATTTCTTATAACTTTTACATATTTGACTTTTCATGTTAAATACTGTTTGCTTAAATCCTTTCCAGGCGTAAACGATAAATTTTTTTTGTGAGAAAAAAAAAAATAATGTATAAACAGAATGGATTATATAATTACGAGTCCTCTGAATCATGGAGGTTCGACTCCGACGTGATGTCGCACGGATCGCATGCGGGCGATCGTTAATCGAGTCAAAAATGCTGTCTATTGTAAAAAAAAAAAAGACTCTTTTTAAGTACGACTGCAAAAGATCTACGAATGAACATATGCAGATGGCATTCTTTGTAGAACATTCGGAATTTAGTAGAGTAGTAAATTGCTAAGCCCCAGGGTGTTGTTACAATTATTTTAGTTTAAGAAAGCCGTTATAAACAGACCTTAGTGCTTACTACTGCTTTTACTACAGCATTGCTCAATTAAGGCCCTGGAAGACTACTGTATTATTTACTGCATAAATATAAGCACCCGTTGATATTTTACTAGTTTTGACATAAATCAAAGCCAGTAAACAATGAATTAATACATGTCGAGTTGATTGACATATTTAGAAACCTACTTCTACCGAAAGCCGTTTCCCAATCGATGTTTCGATTAGTCGGTATCCGGTGGTCCTTCTTTTGTATCTGCTTACGTTAGTGTATAATAAATAAGGTGCGAGTTAATAATTGCATTTCGTTTAACTGACACTTTTGATGTGTTACTCACCTATTTACGTGTATATTGTATGTGCATTGTGTAACAAAAAGCGCTATTTTTAAATCATGATTTTACAATAGCCATGTGTCAATTATTATGTTTGCAATTTTAAATAAAGGCTTATAATCCATAGATTTATTTAATATAGTCTGGGTTCACCAGTTTTTGTTTCATTGAGCTACGTAAATAGGAAAACAAGACAAAATTGTGGTATGTTGGATATCGAGTTTACAAACTTACGTATAACCTACTTTACTCAACTAAAAATATTGTAATCGGGATACACAACATAAAAAACATATATAAACCGTATCTAAATTTTATATAATTGAACGCCAAAACAACCGCTATTGACCACAAAAAATTTAATCAAAATATTTTGCTTTGTTGACGAGAAATTAACATATTAAAATTTTACTAATTTTAATAATTTTGTAATAAATTTGAATTGAACCATGTTGAGTATATGTATAATCAAAATAACCTCAGCTTTAATACTGCTTTCACTCTACTTGGAATAAAATTTTGATATACTTCTTGTGGAATATTTTCCCACTCTTTCTAATGCTGTTATTCACAAATACAGAGTAATCGGAGACTTTTGAGACGTTCTATATATATATATTTTAATGACGCGAATTACATTATTACTGAAAAGGTTATACGCATTTTTATCAGTAAGTATAAACACATACTCTATTATTTGTTACATACTGTATTTAGAACCAAAGAATTAATGACGAAAATGACATTTAGACGGAGCCGAAATTTTGATACTGATTTGCATTATAATATCAGTAATAAAAATGGGGAGGTTTGATGCTGGTCTCTATAATTTTCACCAATGTTGCCAAAATGTTGAGCAATAGCCGACTGTCTGCGTTGAAGACAAAAATGTTAATTCTTACTATTCCCTGTATTCTAAAATAGTCCTCCGCGTCAAAGATTATACAGTGAAATTTGTCTGTAATCACACTGTTTGGCAATATAACAAATTTGAAAAATAGTAACTATAGACAAGGTAGTTTACTAGGAAACTGGCATACGCACAGGTGTGACTATGGACAAAGAGACTATAGACAGGGGTTGACTGTATTTTTTTCTTTGAGAAATGGATTCAGCTTTTATTGAATAATAATTTAAGATGTAAAGTTTAAAAATTTTACTTTATACAAGTAATGGAACAGATGTATATTAATATGTTCTGTGTGGGAATTATAAACCATGTATTATTGCAATGTCACATATGTGAGCAACCAATTTTTTTACAAAGCCTTAAATCACCTACACCATAGTTTTACAATGGTCACACCAATAAGCATGTTTTGTAATTACATAAAAGCTTTAATTGAACATATAAATTTGTTTTCATTAATTTTATCATACTGCCTTTTATCAAATAACGCTGTGGAATGGCATGCCATTCCTCTGCTATAAACTTTCAATTCTTCATTAAATACATGTCCCTGCTTCCAAAAATGTAATATGGTCTGATGCTGGTTCTTTATATATGTATGTTTTCACGCTTAAACTTTAAAGATAAATAATTAAATTTATTGTTTAGTAAATAAGCTTTTATTTATATTTTACACGATACAAATTGGATCAAAATTGGGCAAGTTTTACATCACAGGTTTGGTTTTCTGCACACTACTGTAATTAAAACTTACGGAACAATCCTTTAGTTTACGATTGATTTACGGAATATTATGCATTGTAAGAGATAAAAGGGCGTAGTAAAGTAAAATTTAAATAGCGCGTCATGTCAATTTTAAGGAGACGCATGCATTATTGTAATTATGGTTTGTTGGATTTACGCAAACCGGATAAATACTATTCAATAGTAAGAAGGTTTATTTAGTTAATAGACTAATGTCCGAAGCAGCGACTTGTTATATTGATGTTATTAACAGCACATGTTACATATTGGTTTATACAGTGCGCGAAAAGAATGAAATGCATAGGCCTTATTTCCTTCCAAAATACGCGTCTAATCAAAAAAGCCAACTAATACTAATACGTTTTGTGCGTTCTATTCTTATGCATGTAACATCGACAAAAAACTCAGTCACATAACTTTGTAACTTGGGCTATTTGTTTTATTATTTACACTTTTCGTTTTGTTATTAAAATACAACGACAAGGTTTTGATTGACTGACGTCGCAAGATCATAACTACTCTATGGGCAACATGGTACTCAAGATGCCTACACTTTACATAAATTAACTTCTAAGTATAAAGCTTAAAAATAAAAGTTTTTGGAGAAAGCACTTATGTTAATTTGATGTGTTGTACGATGGAGAGCATATCTGTAATTCTCGTTGCAAAAATGTTATCCAAAACTTTTTTCGCGCACTGTACATCCTCTCAGAAAACGATGCCTTTCTAATATGAACTATCGCTGACTAAATAATTTACACATTTTTAATAAAGTTGTCGACTCGTATATAAGTTATTATTATAAAAAGGGAAGAAAATATACTTGCTTTGTCAATTAGGGATAATAAACCCTTTTTTTTTTCATCGAGCCGAGTCACGTGTTCGTTTGCAGAAATTATTTTCTTACATGCACGTGCTGTAATGTTAACCAAAGGTTAAGGAATATAAAATAGAGTTTAGAGAGAGCATTTAGAAAGTTCACCGTGCTTGAAGAAATGACATCCCGTTTTGGATTTTTTATACGGTATGCGAACGTAACTACCGGAATTGAACGGGATACGCTTACAGATGAAGAAGATCGAATGTGATTAACGAGTTTGCTTCTAAACAATGCATAGAGAGGCACTTCATCAGCACTTGGTGAACATCAGACTACTGCCCGGAAGAAAATACATCAAGGGGTATGTCATTTTGTATCTATTCCGGCTTTTCTTAATTTCATGATTATTTATCCTTTACACATAATCTCTCTCCCCTCTCTCCCCCTCTCTGTTAGCCCAAATACGATCACATTACCTTCCCGATTTTACACAACGAATAGCCCTACAAATGATCCATCCACTGATAAAAAGAAAAAAGGCTACTTTACGCGCGCCAAGGAAATGGCAATATTTTATAAGAATGGGATAAAGCAGCTTTTCGCGAATTACAGATTGTCCGCTGCTCTGACACGAAAATTTCGCAAAGAGTTTTCCGATTTGAATCGAAGAGAAATTCACCTGGTGAGAGCATTGTTTTTGCATCATATCTGTACGTACAGTCGAGTTGTTGCTTCCAGACAAAAGCTGTGCTCTCGAATACAAAGACCAAGTACTAGAATCGTTATTGTATATAATTACATTTTCCTTTGACTTTTTTAAATCAGATCAGGACAACGCGGAGGGATATGAAGCGGTTGCTTCCATTTGGTCTGATACTATTTATCATTCCGGAAGCTATACCTTTTGCTATCTTTTTTGCACCTGGGTTGATACCAAGCACGTGTATTCTACCTGCACAATTGGTATGTGTCGTTTGATGACTGAGAAATTTGTTCACACATGTTGGCTGACTATCATTAACATAGGAAAAGCGTAGACGGAAAATCCATGAAACTCGACAGGCTATATGCGATAAATTGCTTGCAACATCAGATGCTGTGGCATGTCGATTGTTTATTCGTATAATAAAGGTTGATATTTTACGCAACTAACGGAATCGTTTGATTGTAGATAGCCAGAAAAGATTTCCAAGATATATCAAGCGTTATACGATTGAGTCGTCAGATAGGCGATAAACTATATTTGGCGAAATTTCCCAAGCAGCTCTTGGTTGACCTTTGCAGGTAAAAATAGGAAATAATCTTTTGTTCCATTGTTTTTCTTTCTTCTGTTAATAGATTCCAATGTGTTATATAGGTTTATGGGATTGAGTCGTTTTGGTACAAAGAACATGCTAAAACGTAGACTAGAGAATCGCCTCGATTACCTGTTTGGCGATGACATGGTTTGTCCTTCTCCCATATAGTGATTGGCATTCTCTGCAAATATTAATGTTATGGTTTCTCAATTTGTAACAAGCTAATTGCAAAGGAAGGAATAAAAACATTGACACTCGATGAACTTAAGCAAGCAAGTGAGGAGCGAGGAATGTAAGTTTTTGCAATCTCCATGACTTGTCCTATTATTTGTACTTCGATTCATTGATACTATTATTGTTTTTGCAGTAAATCTGTTGATATTCCCGATAACCAGTTGCGCTTAGCGCTACAACATTGGATCGCATTGCATTTGCATCAGAACCCAGAAATACAGGATGAACTACTATTATTCAGTAGGACATTCTTGTACAATGCAAAATATCAACAACGAAACTCGGACGTAATTGCCATAACCTGAATCTAATACTATGTTTTTTTTTTGTAAAGAATTACAAATATAACTCCAACTCATTAAAATCGAACATAGTTTTTAAATAAACCTGCCTTTGGTTCTCCAGAGAAACACGATCTTTAATATATTTGCTAGATACCGTAATTGTCAAAATACATAGTGCGACACAATAAACGCTCCCGCGTCAGACTCAACGAAGTCTTCTCGCTTCTCGTTCCGATTCCAGTAGACATAGTATGTCATTTTCACGGACTGGACCTTTTACGTTGCGGATAATAGAACGGGTTGTATCGTCCATAAATTCGACGCGGACTTGAGTGACACCACCTCGAGAGCCAGTTCGGCCAAGGACTTTAATAACTTTGGCAAGTTTTACGGGTTGTTTGGTATCCTATTAAAAAGTAATTAGTAAGTGTGATTGAAGGAAGCTATACGGGTAGATTATTGCATACCATGCCTTGCTTTTTTCAACTGAGGTCAAATGTTTTAGCAGAAAAATTTTTTGGGGGGTGATTTATGCTGCACAAAACTTGGGACACGCCACAATAAGTATAGTTATGTAACTTACTGTGTAACGTGGCGAGTAAAAAAAAAAGACTATAACAGGACTACAAAAGAAGACAACATTATGCGCTTATAAAAAAATATATCAAAATCAGAAACAGCAAACAGTCCCAAGTAGCAGTACATATAAACCTCTGTAGCTTAAAACCATAAACCATTACCACCAGCCATCACTTTATCTTATCGAATTTGACTATGTATTCAACAGTAATTGATCGGAGTTTTATTACCAGATAATGGATTAGATGTTTATTCTTAATAGAAGGACCGGCAGTGGTGTCATGGTTTTCGAATCAAGAATTAAGATTGTTTGGTAACACTTATTCTTTAATATTAAATGGCAAACCTTTTATTAATTGAGGTATTCGACTTATTATTATGGAGGTTCATTTGTTAAGAAGCGTCTTTATCTTACAGTGCATTATTTTGTTTTTACGTCTTAGAGTAGTTGTCATTATCATTGTTCGACTAAATTCTACTTGCAGCACAATTATATGTTTGGCTAAAATCTACCAATATAATTGGACATTTAACAAAAAATACAATGTTTTGAGTTAGAAATCTGACCGAGTGGCAAAACCCAATTATTGGACAATGAGTTTTATAAGTTGCAGTAGTTGCAGAATTTTACTGTTTGTGGTATTAATTAGAGGTCAAGCGGGGAGGTTAAACGAGACAAGAATGTCAGGAGGTCAATATATAAAAGTATAGGAAGAGAGATAAGATATAGTCTTAATATTAACAAAAGCAGGGCGAATACACTCGCAAACAAAAACATATCCGTCATGGACAGAAAGCGCCCTTGTTACTAATTATGTATAAGAGTAATGAGTTATACTAACCATCCTTTTTGGAAACAATTACAATACACAAACTCCGTCTTATTTAATATGTTACCAAGAAAAAGATTGTTGTTCAGATCACACTTCTTACTGCGTACATAACCTATAAAATTGAGTCCAGATAATGGTGCTAAGCAATAACTCCAAACCATGTGGACGCGACACCCGTACACTTGTATAGCCAGACACACCTTGGCTACTTTTCTCCAACGCGCAATGTATTACTTCACTACAAACGCTCTCCCAAAGCGCGCACGTATTGTCTCCTTCTTAAGCACGACACGGGCCTTGGCACTTTCCTATACAGTATTAATGTAAGGTAACAGTAATTTGCATACATTTATATGCGCAAGTAAAATAGTTAAAAATTAGATGTTAAAAGTCAAAAGACAACCATTTTATATTTTTCAATTCTAAAACACTTTTAAGCGCGTCGTTTTATTCACAAGCGTAAACGTTGTGAGCGATACGATGTAGACTGTGATGTTTTACAAAAAGGCCCAGAAGCAATTACTACAGGCAGACTCGACTTATCACGTTGTCCGACTCGTGATTAGATTAAATAATCGTCTAGTAATTTAGCCAAAAGTAGACAACAATATATATCGTTACTACCTACTTTGTTCCTTCGACTGGACTTCAATTTTCTTGATTGCTAATGGTAGTAACCCTCGGACTATTACAATCTAATCAAAAATCAACAAGCGAGCTATTGATTCGAATAAAGCACAGAATCCAAGAACAATAGAGACACCATTGTGACGTTTGGAAGTTCGATCACGAATCGTCTTTCGTCGATGGAAATACATTGTTCATTATTATCACTCAATACAGTGCCGCCGTCTTCGGTTATTAGAGTAAATAATTATAATCTTCTTCTTTTACTCAATAAATCAACTGATATAATATATTTATAGTGACTTTATTAATACCACCTATGCGCTGGCAAGCCACCTTCCGATCACGGAACAGAACAAGCATTTTATGTCAATCAGCCTCGCGATGGCTTTTGTATCATCTCTTTTCGTTGTTTCTGTTGCCCGATTGTTGTGGTTGACCACTAATTGCAATATCGACAGGACATGACTCATTCGATCAAACATACGTTTCGAAGAATGCATGGGGTCGGGAAAACACATTGCAAGACGTATAACAGCATCTGGTTAAGGCTTTGTTGGAATAGTCTATTTATAATGCCACAAGTCTATTAAAGGATATCTTCCGGCAGCATATTGCCTATAGTTTGTAATAGCCGTATTACCTGTTCATCGTTACGACCATGAATGGTTAGAGTTGGAGTAGCTGCTTGGAAATCAAGCTGGTCAGTTCCGCGTGTGCTTGACCGGGAGAGTGTTAGATGACACGAATCATCTGCTGATTTATAACATTGTTCGTTTGCATGTAGTGTCTTTATAATTAACAATATTCAGCGTTGATAATTTCCAATACAATAAATAGTAGGCTGTGCAAGTTTTGATCACTTACCAAAGATTCGTAAATATTGAAACTCTGTTCAAACAAATAAGGCAAAATGGACAAACTCATTTCGTTATGTTTAGAGTTTTTCACTGTGCAAATATCGACGTTGAGCACGGCCGGGTATCTTTGTTCATTGTCTAAGAGGTCATTAGTGTCTGTATTGAGAATACATCGCTCAGAATATTCGATCTTACATACTTACGGCAAAGCGAAGCCGTGGTAAACTTTAAATCTTCAACCAAGATCCATTTCCAGTGCTGCTCACTACTCAGATCCCCAATACTCCTAAACAAGATTCCCAGTCCAAAGTCACAATTGCTGACTATGGCATCCAGTGATAAATCAATTACTGATGACAAGGTTACCACCTCGCCCGGCGCCAAAGACAAGATGCTGAGTGATCGTGATTTAACAATCGACGTGAGCATTATTCCAACATAACTTATATGTGGGATCAAATAGAGAGAGGATATATCTTTGCTAAAAGTGTGGTTGCAAAACGATGGAGTAAATATAAAGCATGAAGTTTCATATAGGCTGCAAAACGTGTTGAAAATACCTGCTAGAATTTCTAACTGTTGTTTCAAAAACGAGCTGTCCTGCTATCATTGTTTCTGACGATGATACCTTGGCTTCAATAACTTCAATCAATGGATCTGCGACGTAGTTGGATTGGGTCTGGCACGATTCTGTCTGCATAGTGATATCGTAAGCTTTATTGGTTGATATTAAGGGGAATAATCCAAGTTGAACGTGACTTGAATATTTCGACCCTTCCCTTCGAACTTGTAATTTCTGCGAGTAATTCTGTACAAAGAAGGAAGTCATAGATGCCAAGATTTCTTCACACGTCAATATAATATCTATTTTTCTTTGAACCTTCGCGTCCAGAACGATAATATAGATCGCGTTAGCTTGCTGTTGCGGACAAATTAAGACTGTTCTAAATACTCAATAGTGCACCATAAGCTGTAATCTTCTGATTTTCGCTTCCCCCTCGTATACTCGAGTCTTAAGGGAATCCAAGACAGATCTCAAGTGGGCAATATCGGTTTCCTCAACTTCTGCATGTCGATATACAAGTAATGACAGTTAGACAAGGTTTATCATAATGATCATTGCAGCCTGAATCTTTGACAGTTTATTATAAAATCACCTGTTTCAGAGACAGCTATAGCCTTATTGTCAATAAATTCGTTTATAGATGATATTGATGTCCATGTTGACGGATATAGACTGTTTACGTGGGACGTTGACATGATAACGATTTCATCGTATCCAGAAGATTTAGATGTAACAGCTAATTGTACATTCTCAAGAAACCCTGTGTCGAGACCATCATGAACATTAACATTACGCGCGACACAACGGGGTCATTCAACAAAGGTATATGGCAATTCGTAAATACCTTTCTGTCGCTCACCACTTTCCGAATCCATTAATGCGTATTTGCCATCCGCCAATTTAATTATTAATGCGGATACGCTTGCTCCACCGGCATTTGTTAATTGCACTTCTTTCCTAACAGGTTAAAGGCCTCTGTCAATTAGCCATAATTGTGTAGAAACCCAACCGGTTCGCGTAATACATACAGCCATATTGGCATAGTAGGAAAATCACTACACCAAAGAGTATGAACAACATTCTGAGAGCTTTGATTTCTTGTAGCAAGCCGCAAGCATATGACCTGACCGCGTGTTGATGCAATCCAGATCAAGGTATCCATTCCTTCTAATCCAAGAGAAACCACTATATGTGTTGCATTCCTCGAATAAGTCCCGGGAATCTTACTTAGATGCATTACATCCTCTGCAGATACGTCGTCGATAAAAGATACGGTTTTTACGCAGGAATCATTCAATGGGCAATAAACCAAGTAGATACCCTTGTGGTGAGAATCACAATTAATGTCGCCATCCACAAGAGATTGTTGGCTTGTCCAGACTCCGTGTACTGAATGTGCACAAATCGACTTTGTCAATATATAATCTCCACAAGGAAACCAAAGTATAGCAAAGTAGTTATTCTCATCAAATAGGTCATAAATCATAGAAGATGAAATTGCAGAATCGTAGTAAACGAAAGAAACGGTCGGCCCATCCATAATGATTGCATCTGCGAGGGTAACATTATTTCAATTATCAAATACCCTGCTATTTAAAACAGTTACAATATATATTCAAGCTTACCATGTAACACGCCCCCATGCGTCTCATTCTGCAACGTGATTTCCCAATGAAAAGGATTGTATCCAAGACGATATAGACAGAATTTAGTATTCGACGAGTCACATACTAGGGCAAAGACGGCCAGACTAAGCCACGTAGTAACAAAGAGTCAGCATGATTCTCTTTCTGTAAACTGTTAAGCAAAACATGACATTACACTCCCAAGTTTGTATCCGTAACGACAGAAATACCAAAAACTTTTGGACATTCAAGATCTCATGTATGTAACCACAATGTGTGCACATTAATTAGTAGAATTCACAAGTGTCTTGACCAGCCTTGGTCATAAAAATTTACCCATAGAGTATCTGAACAATTAAATGAATACATACTTTCTAGTCTATGGCTAGATACATCGCCTTCACTTATCCACTTGTTCTTTTGTTCTGATTTGTAATAAATAACTTTCAAGCACTTTTCATCGTCAACATATACTTGAAACATGTAAGAATTAAGATATGCGTATTGACATGGAAGTTGAATGTCTTGGGACCAACGACGACTATTGAATGGATAGAACATGACGCGTAAACATTGTCTTTTTCCCATTGACACAAATTTCAGGGATCCGCTACGCCACAACATGCGCCACGATTAATTGTTTTTAAAGAAAATGTCCAACCTAGAGCTATATCTCATATAACTAGTGCATAGCAAATAAGGATAGCTAGTTCGAAACACGAATGTTACGTGCTCACACTCGTATTACTGTAAAAATGAGCGGTCATAAAAAGATGACTGGCTGGTGCTTCTTACCAGTTATTTAATAAATGTTTGTCTATTGCTATTACATTTTGATCACAGTGCGCGAATATAACAATGACAGTAATAGCATTTCGAACGCCTTCTTTCCGGCTAAAGTTAATAGTAATAGTAAGTATCAAGCTATTATAATAACTTTAATGTAAACAAACTTACAAATTATCCTGGCTTTAGATAGAAGTCTCATATCATTGTTACTACGGTTTCTTATTTCCGGAAGGGATACGCAATTCAAATAAGGATCTCGGCATACATTACAGTATTGAATGAATTCCTTGCACAATCTCTGTAATGCGTTCTGTAATACGCAGAGTGGTTGCCATGTACTTATTATTTGCTTGTCGAGAATCTCCCTTAGCTCCTGCTTTTCACAGACTCTCCTCCATATTGGATCTAAGGGATTCGTTGTATCTATAATCCCCGCAGAAACAGGATTAAGCTCATTTACGCCTACTTTGTGTATTATTTTCACGAAATCTTTGAAGGCCCTCTCGTATTTTTCCAAGTTATCCAATTTGACTTCGCTCTATAAATATAGCATTGCTCGTTGGTAAAGCAACATACCAGTCTCTAGAGATCTTGACTTGGATAGTGTGGGCACCGAAGAATTGAGAGTTTGCAGCCTGATAAATGTTGGAGTTATGAGCATTAGAGGTAATCACCATCGCCGCGGTAACCCATAGCTGAGGTAATTACGTAGTAATGGGGGCTAAGTCCTATGCATACTATTGCTTTGAAGATTATGTAGACTTGAGGTGTATATAGTTTTTACCAGGCGGTTAATAATCTGATATCTATTATAATCGATAATATTTTTCCATTGATTGAATTCTTACACGCGCGAACGCCGCGTAGATCTGTTCCCTATGAAGCAGATGCAAAGACAGTTAAGGACTTGATAAAAAAAATTCAGTACTTCATCCGCTAATACCAGTAGATATAAATGTATTTCTTACATCCGACGAAATATGTATATCACAAAAGCACGTCTGAGATCTATCAATATTGTCGACAGAAAATCTTGTTCACTTATGGGCGTATCTGTGGATGAACTGGTATAGTAAGAAAAATTGGAAGCTTTCGCTCGATCATCCTATCCAAGAGCCATGCCTATAGCAAGAACGACAATGATAGTTGAATCCCACTGGCGGGTTCTTAAAGACAATTACAAATATAATCATAACAGACCTCGTCTCGATCGTTTAAATCTTATTGTAATAGGACGCCTGATCCCAGACATGTTGAACACTTGGCAAAAACAATCGACTTGGTGGAAAGCCTTCAAAAAACCGATTGGAGAAAATGCCTTGAAAAGGATACGCCTAGAAAGCTATCATGTGGATGTCGATAAATGGATTTGTTCTTGTTCAGCTTTTATAAATAGCCCATATTTGGTGTGTAAACATCTGATACAAACATACGCTGCCAGCAATCCAGACACTCCTCAATATAAGACCACCACCACCTGACTACCCATTTATCTACTTTGGAGAAGACGATCATCCGAGAACTAATACTCTGTAGAATCATATACAACAAAGTCCTTTCAAATGAGCCAGAAATTATACCTGAAGTATCCGGAGAGAGTGAATCGAGCGAATCGAGCGGATCAAGTATTCGCGCTAGATAGAAAGTAGAAAAGCCGTGTTAGCAACCGACAAGAGGATTTTGAATTGTTAAATTCGATTCTTGAGAATGATAATTTGTTCGACGAAACTCTAGCATGTAGTGAAAGCTTTGAACGCTAGAACGCAACAGTCAACTTGGCAGCCCCCCTCCCTCCCCTCCCCCCAGAAATTGGAAGTTAGCCTTCTAGCTAAGATGATTCTTTTATACATACCACGTTTAACTCGCTAGAAAAGTATATAGTGTAGTATTATTATTATTATTATTATTATTATTACGATATATAACAATAAAGATCGATGGAGATTCGCAGGACTTTAACCAAAAATCAAAAATCTCGCGTGGCTTACAGTCACGGGTCAGCCGATATTTCATATGACACTCACGTGTCTACGATTAACCATTCGTCACATTCACTATAGTCACAACAGACCTATAAAAGTGAATATTCGGACCGTCCCGGGGCGGTTATTTACACGAACTTTTTGATGCGTTAACGAAGAAACTAATTTTGAACACGTCACATGGATACACAATATGTTTCTAAGCAAGGTCAATTGCTTTATTTTTCAATTAAGGTTTGGTGAGAATAGATGGTTTGTTTGACATTTTTTAATTTAGCGAATGTCTAAACTGTTTTAATTATAGCGAGGAAACAAACGAACTCTTAATAAGACTGTTTGTTATACCATTGACAATAAATAATATTTCAAAATTACAAATAATTCCAACACGTTTTCTTTACTGCTTACTAATCTTTTAGCTGTGACTATTTTCGGGAAATTCACTCGTCATGTGAAAGAAAACTTTTAGATTTTGTGGAGAAAGCAGGGTTATTTTGTAAAGATACACATCAAACCAATATTAACTGCAGGCATTGCATCAATTCTGTTTATGGTTTGCAGTTTCTTTTTAGAAACAGAGAGAGGTCACTATGGCTATCTATATTTGAAGGATGACGGAACAATTGGTAAATCGCACCTGTTATCATTATTCAATGAAGGATTTTCCATCACAAAAGCAGAGGTGATAGACTGTGATGGAGAGCCGCTCTTTCTATTTCCAACATGATGTGCGTATAATAACGTTTGGGGTCTAACGATTATTATCCTGTTGACACAAGTGTTCTGACGTATAGGGAATCTTATTGCGAACCAGACATTGTGTAATCTGCACTTGACTAAATGTTACCGATGCTGGTAGTAACAAGGCGATCTCCAAGTCAATTAAATTTAATGTTGATCGTTAGTCGATGCACTATGATTGGGCAAGCGTCAATAGCTTTTGACTGTGACATATGAGACAGAGAATAATGGAGCTTTTCACCAATGAAGCAATTGCATGGATCAAACTACGGACGGCTCTGCAGTCTGGTTAATAATAATACCAAGCATAAAAGAGACGTTATACTCGAACGGAAGGTATTAGTAAATTAAGGAAAAGATGGTCATGTCGTGCACGAAATGCTGACCCCCATATTATGTAATGTCCCTGGTGGGCTGCAAGAAGAAGTAGAAGGAAGAAAAAAAAAAAAAAGGAAAAAAAAAAGACTGATATTGGCAGATAGAGTAGGAATCGGCCCATAGTACTGACTAGCTTGGTATGGTTCGATGAGCAAAAGGCAGTTATTAGAGAGAAAAAAAAACCGGACATCCTTCTTTTCTAGTAAAATGGGTAAACATTTTCGACATGTGCGAGACCGTTATAGAGTCGTCACCATACTTAAGATTGACTGTGGGGGGGTGTTAGTTTGGCTGACACGCGCAGCTTTCCTGATAGAGAGTCTTTCAGCAGATTATTTCCCAGAAATCCCCAGCTAAACTCGTTATCAGTTGCGTCATCAGCCGCATTGTCATGTCACTGTGATCAGTTCGGATGCTATCATTATTTTCTTATATCACTTGTTACCCTATGCATTTGATATCAACAAAATTCCGTAGGATCTTGTCATTGTTCGACAAATTGACTTGATCCCATATGAAAATCAATAAGTGTTTATAGCAGCGCCTCATTGGTGCCACACTCTTTGCACAGCTGACTTGTGGCCCATGCGTAGTATTGGACCGATGATATCGTTATCAGCTGAGTAATGAGGTTATGCATAAAAAATAATGTGAAGAGATTATTTCCTCGTGCTGTGCGTCATTACAGCGGCGTTGGGGGGGGAGAGGAGGGAGGGGAGGGAATGTTGTGTTGTTGGGAGTGTTGTTGGGCAGTGTTGTTGGGAGTGTTGTGTTGTTGGGAGTGTTGTTGGGAGTGTTGTTGGGCAGTGTTGTTGGGCAGTGTTGTTGGGAGTGTTGGGAGTGTAGAGTGTTGTTCGCACTCCTGGTTTTCCTGGTCACTTGCACTTGTAAACCTGTTTGTTAGTGTGCCTGAACTATTCGACAATGAGAAAATCCATTCACAATAGTCGGATAATCAAACTAGCATTGTTCTTTACAGACAAACGTTCTCATGTCAAATGGCCTCGGCTGACTGTTGTACTGTGTTTGTGAAGGCGTAGAAATGCACCCGAGAGCACAGTGGCGGGAATAGCACACAATAGCAAGCGAATAATGTATATGAGCATTTAGTGTGCAACATTTATACATACATATTAAGTGTTGTACTGTATAATTATTATAATTATTATTATTATTATCGGCTATTGCATATGATAAATAGTCTATTAATTTATCCTTACATCACTTTAAATATACACTGTTGCATATTTTATTCAAATCACATGTAGATTAATTAGAGCTAAATATGGGGATTAAGTTGTGTTTGTATATTTTATACACTACGCCAGTATTCAGAGACATATGATTTTCATCATGGAGACACCTCCAACCCTGACACTCACACTCTGCCGTCCATCCCGTCCCCCCTTAATCCACCACCAACATATAACCCCCACCATCTCTGCTCCGATAACTGTATCTTCCCAACTAATAATAATTATCTATCTCTGGAATTAATCAACAATTAATTATTACCATTGTACGCAACTATCTATAACGCTATCTACTTCCAGAATACTATAAAAATATCCTCTCCCCCTCTCTCCAACAACTTCACTCCCCACGGAAAACTTATAATACATCAACCTTCCCCATAAAAAAAAAAGAGCGAAAAATGGCAGGTAACGTTATCGAAATCAAACAAGTTGACATACCACATTCCAACGATTAATACCATATCCTTTATTCGATTCGTCACGACAGACAAGGCAAACGGAACAAACAGTCATGAAATCGAATACGTCGAACGCGATGAAATCTACGAAACAAAATCCGAGTTCTTAGAAAAACTGTTTACATATTCCGTCGTAAAAGACGCCTACATTTACGTCAACAATAATAAAATCGGCAATGCCGCTATCAACGCAGTAAGCACCGTCGGCAAAATAACAACGGCTCCAGTCATGTCTAGATTTCCAGAGATGTCCAAAAATGTTGATCATTTCGCTGCTGGAGGTGTAGCTCTTGTAGGTGACACCTTCCCTCTAACCAAAGCATCCGCTGGAGAAATCATCACCGGAGTCACCACTCCCGCCAAACAAACCATTTCCTCCATTCAATCAACAATCGACACAAAGGTCACTACCCCCATCAACCACCAAGCACGAAAGATTGCATCTCAAGTATGCGAGCAAATCACTCCTCTTGCACGAAACGTTGATAAAAGTCTAGAACCAATCATCAACAAATACGGTGGGTTGGTCGATTCGTGGCTTCCCGCAGAAGAAAGCGAAACCGAAGAAGAGAAGAGCGATTCATACCAAACCTACAGAGCTTACTCTTTGACAAGCAAGGCTCAGCGAAGACTCTCGAAACGACTCAAGCGTCAAATCTCCAACACTCAGACCTTCACCGCCTCCCAATTGCGTCAGATTCAAGATTCCAACAATCTTCTCCGACAAGCTACCGAGACCGTTGCTACTCTCAATGGTAAATTAAACGAACTTGTAGTAACCGCCAAGACAAATGCCGTGTCTCTCAGAGACACCGTACAGAATCAGGACCTTGGTTCTACCTTGCAAAGTCTCTCAAAGAACCTTCTCACTACTACCGACTCGATCGCCAAGTACATCAAAGAGAACACAGGTCAACTCCCAGACTATATCCAAGATTCTCTCACCCCCATGGTCACCTTTTTCAATGAGGTTTACGGCGACGTCATGAAGGAATTTCCAAAGGATGATGCTAATGCTTTACAGAAGGCCAAGTACATTGTCCACGTAACTTCACAACACACTCTCCCCGTTCTCCAGCGGTCACTCACTGATCTGTCTGCTTCCTTAGACAGTTATCGTACTACATTCAATGGTACTCTTGCTAGTACCACCGAGGCTGCAAGGGGCTACCTCGCTCCCAATAAAACTGTTGGCGTTAACTAATCCAAATCGACTTTGAGGGAATATATTCGTTATATAGTTATAGCATCTTCATCACAAATTTCATCTTTATTTTTGGAACGAGACACTTTTAATGTTGGATATATTTTTCTCTTTTTTTCTGACTGGTTTTTCAGCTTGCTCTATTACTACTATTATGGTTTTTTTTTTCGTTCTTTTTTTTTTCCCCTTCTTTTTTATATACATTTACTAACACTTCCTTTACTTTTACAAAGAAAAGAAATAGTGAGAGCGTACAAGTTCCTTTGTTGACTTGTAAATACGTAGTAACATTTGTATGATTTTAATGTTATTTTAAGTAAAAAGTCATTATCAAATTTGACGGAATATTTTGTAACTGTGCGTCGTTATCTTTGAGAGTCTGTCGTTTAGATCGCATAAGTCCCACTTGACCCAAATAATCACACGCCTTAGTTTACAATTGAGGACATGATGATGACACCATTCAATGAGACAATAAAACGATGCTATTGTATGTCCAATAAAGGGGAAAGCCGAGAGTAAGCGTAGTGCGCAAATGCGAAATCCTACGCTTGAGTCGGTGGCGATGAACAGCAAGAGGATAGAAAAGATTGTCGGATATGCACACGGAGACTATGTAGAGAAGGCATCATTTTCACGTCTTTGAGGGTGGCACATGACAAAATAATAGCAAATCTGTCTTTCATACTGATAATACCATAATCTGATATGCTGAATTACTGAATCGCAAAAGACCATTATTGTAAATTACGCGTGATAGAACGTTCTGATAATAGTCTCTCACAGTATGTCAAGCCAAGCAGGGGCGATCGACGAAACAGTTGAACTCACATAGAAGCATATGCATAGTTTCCAGTTTGAAGAACACATTTCCCAAGGTATTTCGACAGTTTATAAAATATCAATTTGGTTAAAATTAAGCACAAGCGACCAGAGCTGTTTTACCCTAAATTGGGGGCGTATGTCAAAATTTGTATCATTACTGATCTGGGAAGCTGTACGCTCTGTATTGCATTCTCACGATCATGACGCAAGTAAATACCAAACAAGCAGTAAATAGATCTCTGACCCCTGAAAAACTTTGAATTAAGTATATTAACGTTTCCATTTTTAGTTACAGCCTTCTGTATGGAAAGGTAAAATGCTCATTCTTTTATTTTGTTATTGGTATAACGAATTTGAATGGACTTAAATATCTATTCCACTTTTCAGGGTCGTCGTTTTTCTTACTGTTACGTGTTTATACGCCCTTAATAATGATAACAGGCTTTGTGAATAAAGTTATACCAATTGAGAGTAAGCTCTTACGGCAAAGTAATAGTTTGCGATTCTCATTGTCTAGTCATTGGTCTAGATCGGACTGATCGATAAACATAGCAACCCAAAAAGGTAATCGAATAGTATGATACAAAACCACATTTGTGCTCATTGGTCGGTACAAACATTATCGCATCGGGAAATTTTAGACTGATTTTCACATGTATTAAACAAACTGACTGGTAACAATTTTGCCACTGAGACGTAGATTGTATCTGTGCTCATGCTATTTTCGGATAACAAGAGAATGAGCAAATGGCAATTGGGGCTCATAATACCTGGCATAATCCAGTCGGAAACAGGGAGAGAAATCCTTAGCATTAGCATTCAACCGCTAATCAACAATGCATTGAGAAACAGGAGACTCCAAACTGCCAGTCAGCGATGGGGGCAAAAAAAGACTGTTCCACTCCTACTCGCTTAAAATACATGCGCAGTCACTCATCGCCCGTTGGAAAGACTTATAATGGTACACAGATATTATGTTATGCAGCAAAGATAAATGACTGGATACTGATTATGGAATAGACAATAATACAATACACATGGTGGTTGTGCTGGTTCTGTTTGGCATATGCATGTTGGGCTCAATGATGTATTGTGTTTCTCACGGCAAAATTTTGTAGATAGAGTTCGACATATTGGCCGCTTGATTGCCTCAATTAGATGTATTAATACACAAAAAAGTCTGTGCCAACCAGTAATGTGATCACTTAAAAACAGTTAACGCACATTGAGAAGAAAGCTTGTGATAAGGAGAGATTGTGAAAATCAACACCAGAAACCTTGGGCTTTTTTTTTTCCCTTCTGGCCGATAGTAATGCCTACACGAGCTGTTTGGGTTGCACGAGATGTGAAACATGGCGGTTCGTTCTGTAGACTACGTGCCAAGAATTTTGCATATGTGTCTATCTACAGATTGTGGTTTTTGTGCGATCGGATACTAAAAATTAAAATGAACAGCTTATACATGATTATGATTATAATGTCACAATGGATAAATTGAACGGGTTCCGGATAAGGCTCATTGTTGCCTTAATCTATGAAGATCCGCGCATTTAATATGTTCTTTTCTGGAGTCATATAGCTTGAACTGAAGAACTAAACTTTCCAAGTGATCTTGCGCAAAGTATCCCGATCTGACTAACAGTCGAATTTGCCCGAGTTTACTACTTAAATGTAATAATTGTTGATCTTGCCATATGCAAATGCAACCTTATCAATGATGTTACACACATTGAGGCTATGGATTCACAATATTTATTTTTCATGTTTCGCTTCACATGGGAACGGTCTAGAGAGATTTGTCGCTTATCAGCCGCCGAATATGTGTCATAAGGGAAAGAGAGAGAGCGAACCACTGGATGCTATCGAAGCATGTTGGCTGTCGCAGCGGATAAACCTCCACCGTACGCGATAGGCTAATCGCTTCATGATTGGGCACTGTGTGATTAACGATTATACAAATCACTCATCTACAATTATAACTCGCCACGATAACCACATGTCTAGACGAATATTCACATTCCTTCTAAGCGCAGAGAAGCATAACTTAGTTCAATGAACCCTTCGCTTGGCGTCGAGCGGTAATGTCACCACAACGGAATAGTCAAGTAACTCATAGTAACATAACATCGTTATAGGCTAAACGATAACTCGTTAGTAATTATCGGAGTTAAACTCCGGTTCAGTGAATTGGCCAGCAAAACTAATTATGAACACTCTCGAGTGAAGGAGTTAACTTGTCGAATACTCTAGTGAGCATTCCCGTTACGCAACACGAGTCATTACCTAGATGGACGTAACGATGACAATGTCATGTAGTAATCATGTTACCTCTTCGATCGTATGTTAAGTGAGAACCGTTATAGCGAATATTGTTTGTTATAGTTATCCAACCATTACTTTTATGTTTATTAACAACGGTTCTATCAAGGACATGCACTAGAGATAATAATATATCTCTTTCACTTAACACCATCGGTAGGTTGGTCAAAATTAAATGTTCGCCACGAGGGAATACATAGTGAAACCACTACGTAACGAGTCGACGGAAACCGTTTTGCTCAAGTAATAATATTGACACAACATTATTCTTAGCGAACTTATTCAATTACGAACGCTTTTACTTTATTCTTAAACATGATCTTTCTTAACAAACAAGTATTGTTCCATCGAACTAATACGTTTGTAATAGAGCTTTATTTCATTATAGCTTTCATTATCGCAGCGGAGTCTTATAGTTTCCATATCGCTACGTTTATATCGTTCTGCTCCTTCTTCACGTTAATTGCTTCAGGAGACTTAAGAACGATATTGCAATTATTATCCTTTCATTCGAACTATGACAAGGTTTCGTTATGCATTAGATTTCGTATACCGATCATCGATTTCAGGGAAATATGCAAGGTCGATCATGTGTTCAGGGACGGTTGGATTTCGATAGTTGTTTTATTTTCGAGAATAAAGAGTTGGAAATTGTTAATTTAGTTGTTTCCAAGTTATCAAGACCAGATGCAAAAAACATACTGAAAACTGCTCGAGGAGCAGTTGTATAGTTTTGAGAACCAATTTCTATACTCCGCAGCTAATTAATGTCCAATAATAATAATAATATACAAAGATAAATTAAATGTTTCGGACTTTCGCTAGTCGAAATGATCATCATCCCGTACTACTCCGCAGAAATTAAATCATTTGATCAAATCGCCGTTTACAACTTGAATTCGGAATTCTGGGCCCGTCGGTCCACCATGGTCAGATGACTGATCCACAATACCCGATTTGAAATTGTGGCTGAAGCTTGAATTTGACGTATGTACGCCTCGTCCCATATTAATGCATAAAAGCATAAAATTATACAGTTGCAAGAAAAATGCATAGACTATTCAGTTTAGTCAGTGTAACCCATGGTTAAGGTTAGCGTAAATGACAGATGTCGGAAAAGAGTACACAAGGGTTACTTCGCTATCCGCAGTTTCGGGGGAGGTATCTTAAAAGTCATTTACGTTTCTTCAGGATCACGTGCATTCGTTTGATGCGGTTTACAAATAGTACGCGTAAAGACAAACATGTGTGACATATATTGTACATATTTCCCTGTCAAGTCACTGACATCTTCATGTCAAAAAAAAATTTTTTTTGGACCCTGCTTGTTATTGTGACGCGAATTGCCTTTCTCAACAGAATAATGTTTAACTAAATTATTCATTATTTACCCGTTTCTTCCCGTAATTTTTTTATTGCTTTTGGTCAGGTGAATAAGCTTTCTGTTTGTATTGTAATAATTTCTCTCCAACCTAGCCTTCACAAGATGTTTTTTGTATTTTTTTAGCAAGCCATTCCGAAAATGTTGGTGCCATAACTTGCAAAATGCATCATATTTTAATAATGTCAACGAGCTATCGTTTTCGAGACCTGCAATAAAATCACGATAGACCGATTTATAACTTGTTTCGGCTGGCAAAAGTGTAAGCGATTGAGTAATGCGATTGAGTAATGCGATTGAGTAATGCGATTGACGTTTCTACCAGGACTTGGTAATCCATGAATTTCAGCATAGGTTTCGAGAAAATTCTTCACGGCAGTAGCAACGATTATATCAATGGTTATTTTGGTTTTCCATCGCGGCACTTTTTTACATTACCATGAACACGCTGATATGATACCATTCGTTGCCAGATGATTTCCAGACAAGTGCGACCAATTTCTAACATATTGAGATACGTTTCTGACAAAGCGGCGTATTGCGATCTCAGTAGTAAAACGTTTGCTTATTAGTACGTGTTTTCTTTTTAAGACGGCGACTGGCAGTTAGTTCGCCACCATTCATTGCTTTCAACTGGGCCATTAAAAATATATCTTGCTCGGGTCTTGAAACGCCTCACGTAATTCGGCAAACTTTTCTCTCGGAATCATTTTCGAACAACCACAATTACAAGAAGCGCAATGGCTTTTTCAAATTCAGTGGAACAATTATGCATCATATACAGATACTCCTATATATTATATCGCTTCACAATTATTTAGAACGTAAAAGAAACCTTTTTTACTGATTGGAATGTCGTTTAAGACTAAGAGACAATCTATTCATAATTCTTCATACACGGGTATTCCTATATATAATTTTATCCCTTATTAGTTATTTCACTACTTTTATGCTTGGAACCGATTCAAGAAATTAGGGATAGTCTTACTGTCAGTCTGTAATGAAAATAATTCATGTGTTCAGAACGCATTTAGATGGGTTCCTTTATAGTAATTTTCTCAAGCATAATCCTTCAGTTGAGGCAGAATTTTTTATTTATTGAGTTACAGAATATTACACATTGTACGAGAGTTCTTAATTGATAGTCTTTTCATTACCGCTTATACTCGACTGCTTGGATCATTCAGTGTCATGCATTAAGGTTTAGGCAGAATTAGCATACATGTTTGAAAATAGCGGATTATATTTAAGCAATGCAAAGATGCTGCATAGTTGGTGTCTGTGTACCTCATCTTCATTCATCGTTGGTTCTAGATCATCATTAGCATTAGAGTCAAGGCTGAGAATGTGCTTAATCTTCGTACGTTGTATTTTTGGCAAACCAGGTACTTTCACATCCACAGAATTGCCGTTATTATCAGTTGACATTCTACTAATTATCTCCAATGCTTTTTTACGGTTTGACGGTGTGATTGTCAGAATTTGCTTAAGTGGGTTAAGTATAACAGACGACAAGTTTGCATTTGCATCGTCATTCGAGTGATGACAAGATCGCGTAACTGACAAGAAAAGATTAATTCAGATGAGCGATATGATTGGTCAGATATCGAGCTGAAAATGACGATTACTTCGCGCTTCCGTCATCATTTGCCAAAGTTAATACTACACGATTTGCGCGCACTCGAAAATTTTCAGAAGACAGATCTGCTCTACAATTTGCAATTGAGCCCAAGAATGTATAAAATGTTTGCCATGCAATGTACCCCTGACTATGCTACTTACTTAGACAATCCCAGAAATTGTATAAAGATGAACTATTGGACAAATTTAAAATCTTTTACTGGATTTTATATCAATTAACTATATAATCCTGAAAAAGTTCTCGCTCCGGTCATACAATAGAGGAGCTTTGCTTGCGTCGTCGGAAATTATGGCTTTGATTCCTACATGGATTACTTCTTGAGCTTTCAGGCCATCAGTAATATAAACGACAGGTTTTCCTTATAATAACTGCAGTCGAAGCTTTAAATCAAGCTTTGTATCTAACCGTTGGACCATATTTATGCGTACGCGTGTTCAATTTTTAATTCACTTTGCAAGGTCATCTGAAACGCGAACAATTGGCAATTGCAATTCCAGGTCCATCTGTTATTTCAGTGTCCAGTACTAGGCAATAAGACTGCAAAAAATATTTAGCAGATAACCGCTTCTGATATTCGACTCAATACTGCAGGCATAACAATCGGCGATTTTGCTCCATACACGACGTCCTTTTATAGCAACCGACAAGTCACCAGGTCTTAAGGCTAAAAGCTCTGCACGAATAAGATTACGATCTGGATCTTTAAATACGCCAGGCTTTTTACTATTATAAAAAGAGAAATAATACGATATGGATAGTCACGAATTCGATAAAGGCTTCGCCTCTAATTTTACGTTTGTGTTATCCTTCTCGCAAAGCGAGGAAGCTTTGCTTCTGAGCTCGGTATAAACAGTGTCAACTGTATTACAGTACGTGCTATTAGGAACTTTCTAGACCTTTTCGCAATTACTGCTATTTTTCCATTTTATGCAGAGTGTGATCAATGATAATTAACGCGCAGAAATTGCTGAGCCATTTTACAAAAAAGCTTCGCAAACTGTTTTTACAAAAATCTATCCAGAAACTTTATCGTTTTAAAATGTTAGCGATTTAAGTATATAAGCGACCCTTATCCCATCGTCGAATTCTCATGTTGTTATAAAATATTGTTCAGGTTATTAGAACAATAATTCCCACTCCACGGAATAATAATCATTGTTGAAATATTAATTATTTGATCGGACACACTAATAAAGTAAACGCTCATTTAAGCTGTATAAGTCGTCCGTTGATCTATTACTCTTAATTGAGGAACGAGAGCCAATAATTATTTATTGAAACAAAAATTGTTTAATTAGTAATTTAGAGACAAGTGACGGAACCCGACTAGTCGAAATACCAAATCGAAGATAGCCCTGTTTAATATTAAATAGAATTTATTCCCCTTCGATTCCGCAGTAGAATAACTGTTGTTGTTATCCTGACACTACATCACCCACCATTACCTCCAGCAGATTGCATTGCATATTGTGTGGCTCTGGCTCAGTCTCCACTTCCCCAGTAGCAATTTGAGGAGCTTCTCTCACAACCTGTTCAATAATAGCCTTTGCCTGTTTAAGAGAAAATATGCAGGTCATGACCATGCCCTGTTGTAGCCAGAAAACCTGCCAGTAATTCCCCATATCATAATCATGCAAAATGCTCATTATACATTAAGGAAATCATTTGTTTTGCATCCAATCTTGAGGTCACTATATATATAGAGGTCCCATCTGTCCTTTATTTTGCATTCACTTGTAGTCTTAACAAATAGCTGTACAACATGTTGAGGCTGGCAAACCACTATGGATAAATGACATAGACAAGAGAATGAATCCAGAAATCAGGAGTAATTTGTTGACATAGATGAAATGTCCAGTCATAATCTTTTTGAAATTATGCTTGCCAACAGGGACCTTGGAACTAAAACATATTGAACGACTTTTATCTGCTACAAAATGGAATATAGTATTGGAATTACAATGCTCGGGCATTGATTTCGTGTGTCCTTTATTATCGGGCGTTGAAGATATACCACTTATAATATGCTATGTTAATCGCGAATATGTTGCCTTTCCTAAATTTCTTTGTCTAGTTTACCACCTTTTTCAAAGTCTTTAATATCTTTTCGAATCCTACTAATTAAGTTGGTGATTTGTTAGTCCAGCAAATTGGAAGTGTAAGTCAACGATTAGATTTTCACTGTCACATGATTTCGAGAGAATAAGTGTAGATCTCTATCTTCCCAACCTCACCTTTGTCCGCAAAAATGATCCTTCCACGAATACATTCCCTTCTCCGTACATCCATCCTTCGCCGTACGCTGACTCAGCCAACAAGATCAAGGATATTTTCTGCAAATTATGCAAATGCATTGTCAAGATTCAAGCGTTCGCCGGCTGAAGAAGAATTGGTAACGACACATAGGACGAAGTCGGATACTCCTGGGTCACCGTCAGATCCGACATCACTCCGTGGGAGTGAAGCCATGACGTGTAAGATATGAGTGGGAAGGGGAGAAGCTGGCATGGTAACCCGGGTGAGAGCGTTTGCACGAGAGAGTTGACCACGATTGGATTTTGATATATATATATATATATTTTTTACCCCATACAGCCTCTATAGCGATGGATTATGAAGTTGGGGAGTTTTTGGGTATGTATTGACCAACAAATCAGCTGATGACTTTATTAGTTAGCGGCTTGTCTACATCTTCCATTCGTCATCAAGACAAGGTGAAAAAGGAAAGCGAAGGAACAGAAACCCGCGGCTATACTGTAAACTTTGGGCCGCAACATCCGGCAGCGCATGGTGTTTTGCGAATGATACTCGAGCTTCGTGGCGAACAAATAGTTCGAGCAGATCCGCACATTGGACTTCTTCATCGCGGAACGGAAAAACTCATCGAATACAAAACTTACATCCAAGCTCTTCCGTATTTTGATCGGTTGGACTATGTCTCGATGATGGCTAATGAACAGTGTTATTCATTGGCGGTGGAAAAATTGTTGAACGTCGAAATACCAGAACGGGCGAAGTTTATTAGGACGATGTTTGCAGAAATTACCAGGATTATGAATCACATTATGGCGGTTATGACTCATGCGATGGACATTGGGGCTCTGACACCGTTTTTATGGATGTTCGAGGAGAGAGAGAAGGTAAGTTGTAGGCGAATTAAGAGGACAACAAAGGATATCGATAATAAAGATTGATGGTGGCTGCGAAGAAAGATAGTAAAGACGGATGTCCAATCACCGCTCTCGACTTATTTTGCAAAAATGCATCTCCTAATTTTAAACCTTAGTTACTTTACCGCATTCTATCCTAAAAGAATTCTTTCAACTCGTTCTTCAAAACCATCGTCTTTTCCAATCTCGATCCCCTCACTCACTCTCCCCTTTCTTATTATCCACAAAGCTAATGGAATACTATGAACGCGTTTCAGGAGCCAGAATGCATGCAGCATATGTACGCCCTGGTGGCGTTGCACAAGATCTTCCACTAGGTTTACTCGATGATATTTATCAATGGTCAACCCAATTCGCCACACGCATAGACGAAGTCGAAGAACTTCTAACCGCCAATCGCATCTGGAAAGAACGCACGATCGATGTTGGTGTCGTAACAGCACAACAAGCGCTAAACTATTCCTTTTCGGGTGTAATGCTTCGTGGATCAGGCATTAAATGGGACCTTCGTAAGATGCAACCGTATGATGCGTATGATCAAGTCGAGTTTGACGTTCCTATTGGAACGAAAGGTGATTGTTATGATAGGTATTTGTGTAGAATGGAGGAGATGCGGCAAAGTTTGAGGATTGTACACCAATGCTTGAATAAGATGCCTTCGGGAGCGATAAAGGTTGATGATTGGAAGATTACACCGCCAAATAGGGCATCCATGAAGGAAAACATGGAGGCGTTAATACACCATTTTAAGTTGTATTCGGAAGGGTTTTCTGTGCCACCTGGTGAAACTTACACTGCGATCGAGGCTCCGAAAGGAGAATTTGGTGTTTACCTGGTATCTGACGGTAAGCATATGCGTTCTACGCGTCATTTTTACTATTTAATTGAAAACGCAGAGGTATTATTATTACATAGCAGATTATCATATTCTCTTTATTGTTGACAGGCACCAATCGACCGTACCGTTGTAAAATCCGGGCGCCTGGATTTCCTCACCTTGCAGGATCCGACTTTATGGCACGTGGACATTTTATACCAGACATTGTTACAGGTAATCCCAGAAAGTTGCGCATAGATAAATATGTTATATCACGTGTTTATTTAGATTAATTTCTCCTCTTCTATTTGTATGATACTGATTGCAGTGATTGGCACGATGGATATAGTGTTTGGCGAGGTATGTGTCTGTGCCGATGTCTATCGTCTTTTATGAATTGTTATAAATAACCCCTTTGTTTATTCGCATTACAGATTGATCGATAAGGCGCAGTATAAAATGGATGGAATTGTGTTATGAACAATGCGGAGACAGATGAGAATGGGCAGATGACTACATCTGCGTGAATGGATGAAAAGTGATCGCATATCTCTTTGTGGCTAAATTATTTTTGGTGTACTAATGAACAATTACTTAACAATGTTAATGGTGACCCTAACAATGAGAAACAACTTTACCATAGCGATGGTATTTGCCAATGTCACGGAAAATTCACACTCGTCATTGAGTATAAAACAAAATTTGAAGACTGTTTGTTATGACCAATTGTTCAGACGTTCTCATCTATGCAATTATTTATTGCACGCCTCGAGGGACGTTCAATAAATATGATAGTTTTAAGTCCCGTCGAGCATATTCTTCGCGTCCTTGTTTTTACTCTTTCTTGGATCTTTGTATTTGACGTTCTGTCTATACTCTAACGAATCTTCTGGGGGAGGTGGAGGATCAGTGACCTTCACTAACAAGAGAGCTGTTGCCGCCTATTTCAAACGTGATTATTAACGCATCCTCCTCCTAATCTCTCAAACAATTATTTCAGATACAGACCTGTGCAATCCCAAAGAAGAACATTCCAAGCAGTGGCAACCTAATCAACGGATAAAATGCTATGGAAAATCCGAATAGGATGCCTTCTCTCTCTTTAAACCACTTCCTTTTTCCCTCATTTTCAAACTTAATCCTACTAAAATATGGCTCCAATACTTCTCGAGTCAACGTCCGCGTTATGTTCAACGTCTCCAGAAACACAATCGCCAAATATTTAGTTCCTGGAGTGATATACATTAATACGCCCACCGCACATGCAGCGTAGAGCCCAAGTGAATTTACCAAATACCAAACACTCGCCACCGGATACACCATTCTCCCAACAAGAGGGAGGAATGAGAGCATATATAATGCAGTTACATTACGCATTTGTATTAGAGTACGCTTAAGATAATGTCTCATCTCGTCCCAATAGTTTATACTATTATCATATTTTTCTAACAACGGTGCATATGCTGGACGGAGATCAGATTCAGATTCATCATTATGCTTTTTGAGGTATTGGTAATCAACTTGTCGTAACGATTCAAGAAAGAGGGAATCAAGCGGTTCTGGATATATATATCGCATGAATAATAAACCAAACAAGGGCAGATTAAACACCCAGTTTGTTACCCATGATGAATAATCGTTATCATCTAATCTAGTATCTGAGAAACCAAATATGCGGATGAATATGCTCAGAATAAAACGAAGTATCTTTAAAGGAAGTAATAGGACTGTCACAGAGAGAACATAGAGTATTAAGGAGAAAAGACATAGCCAGAGGAATACTTTCATATAAGTGTGCCTATACAAGTGGCGGTTTTCAAAGGCAAGGACAGAGCCTAGCCAGGCGAGTTGCAGTCCACGGGTTACTTGAGTAACTGACCAAGTCATAGCAGAATTATAGAAAGGAGTTACTTCTCGAGACCTAGCATGTTCAAGCCACAGCGGCATGTGTCCACTTTCAACAGTCAGGCTTGAGTGGCTAATTGTCACACAAGACTATCAACTTTTTTAGGCGCTATCAAAAGTTCGCTCACATGCAATAATGTCTGCTGCCAGACCTCTTTTCAACTCGTCACCCTCTCTTCTTCCCCCTATTCCACTCTATCGCCGTATTCTTCGCATTCACCGCGTGCTCCCACCATTACACCGCTCCCTCGGTGACGATTATGTCAAATCAGAGTTCCGTCGCCACAAAGATATCGTCAACCCTGTCCATATTGTAGGATTTCTTGGACAGTGGCAAAATTATTTGGAAGAATTAGAAAGACAGACAGCAAATAAAGATAATTGGGGAAAGCAAATTAGCGAAGATTTATTGGATAAGTTCTCTCACGAACAGATCGGACAGTTATATGCATTGAAAAATGAAGCAAATAATAATATTAGTCAGGAGGAGAGCGAAAGTGAAAGCGACGCACACGTTACAAACACGAGAAGTAGAGAAGAGAAGAGTGAGCAGTGAGATAGACTAATGAGAGGGTCAAGAGGCATTATCGGCAATCGGATAATTATTGCTTGTTGCTATAGAAATAAATACATGGTAGAATGCAGCGAGCATGTTATTTAATGGTTAAACAAACGAGTCGAATGAAAAGAGTGAAGCCAAAAGCGAATTAATCAATCAAACACAATAGGTTCAGGTGCGAATGCGACCATCCACCTCCCCCCAATTCGACACAATTATTGTCATTTGCTAACCTTTTAGGATAGATTCAAAGTTTCTTCAATCGTACTATTTACAAGATTAAAATCTTTAGGTTATGTTGTTATTACTTTTAAATTTTTTATGCATATCCAGGAATGGTTCCTATATAATGCCAGAAGCCACGTTGACCAGTGGCATAGTCCCATATATTGACCAAGTTCTTGGTCATAGTCTGCAAACCCCATACTCCGACACGTTTTAATCGCTTATGACGTTTCTGCTCATCCATTGTCAATTCAGCAAAACACTTCCCAATCATAATCGACACGTCTTCGGCCAAGCCACAATCATAGAGCGTCCATGAACCATCAAAATCAGACTGAAAAGGAAAATGACATAATAAGTACAGGAAACCATAGATCAGCAGTAATATAACTGATCGCTTACCTGATTCTTTATGATCTCAAACTTCATTGATGTAAGGGTCCTATTTCCGTTTATGTAGGCAACGATAGGACGAATCAATGCACTGTCGATAAAGGACAAGTCCTCTGCCACGAGAGGAACGGATGCTTTAACATCATGAAATCGCACGATTAGGTCTGCTAGCAACATCAAGTCAGCCTGTTCTTCCCCTTGGCTCTGTGCTTCGCTGTAATCAGTATCATTACCATTGCCGCTAATACGTTCCCAGTCACAGTCCGTATTGTCATTACGACGCCATATGACAACAGGCTTTTGTTGAACAACAACATCGTCTATCTTCTCGACGATATCGTTGACGAATTTTTTAATGAGGTCGTCATAAGAGTCGTCAGGAATCATAATGTCTGCGTGAATGTCGACGGAGCCCGAATATATCCATCCGAATGGTCCTGGAACTCCGGCATTTAGATGGTCGATATTCAAGCCATCGATTCGAAGTCGTGACTGTCAAGGAAATTTGAGTATGAGTAAGGATAATGGCAGTAACAATATATTAAACAACCAACTACAATATAATAATAGCTGCTAATACTGACAATAAATATCAGATTGACAATATAATTTTGTAAACTCCTCACTCATCCTTTCTTACCATTTTCTTCCATTGTCCCTCTTCGCCCAATCTATTCTCCCGAATAGAAGCACTATGAACACTAAACAGGCAATTGTCAAAGGTCCCAGTAATATTCTTAGCACATAACATATCATACATCAACCATTGCTGTCTCAGCCTTGGCAAGTAAGCATGGAATATTGCAACGTTATAAGGGCGAAAGTCGCCAGGCTGGTAAATAGTGATTAGGAGATCCTCGACGTGGAAGGAATCAATTTCAAAGTCACCTGGTTGGGCCAGACGACGCCATTCTTGCGCAACGTAGGGGACGCAGGAGTCCCAATGTACAGAGCGGCGGTCTAAGAAAGATTGTCGTATAAAACAAAATTGTTAGTTACCACTAGATTTGCTAGTGAAAGATAATAACAATTCTCTTTATCATGCTTTACCAACTACTCCACGAACTCCCTTTACAACAGCACTTTTAATAAGCCCTTTCCTGTCAAGCCATCTCACAAAAGACAATTCAACGTCAATCTTTTCGATAGTCAAATCGAACATTGTAAAATTGTTGTCACATTGCTCTTCCTCTATTTCGCCCTCAGCAAACACAACGAATCGTGGAGTTTGATAGTCGTCACTCGAATGAGATCTTTTAACAGATACGTTCTTCAAACTGATCTTTCCTTCCTTCCAGTTTGGTACTATTGCCGATTCGAACACAATTGTTATGCCTGTTTCGCGTGTGAGATAACTTCCAATTTGACGGGCAATGAATTCTAGCGATTGGAAGGATTAGAAAAAGAGAATTAGATGGTGTAGATAACGGTCTTGTGATAATATCCACTAGGAAAATCCATGTGTTTCAATTCATCGCGTTTAAGTTCATACAATTAACATACCTTGAAATTGTAAACTGTTTGCCGTAGCCAATAAGAGACTGAAAAACGATGTGGTCCCAACAATAATAAACAGAGTATTTCCAACAAAAACCCACGAGAACATTGCCATGATATCGTCCATTGTAAACGGCCTCACTTGTCTCATTAGCATGTATTTAATTCTGATCATCATCCGGTTAAAGAAACCCGTTGCGTTTGCTAAAAGTTCAGCCTTTGTCGGACGGTGTGGACGATTAGGGATTTGTTGTAGAGGGTTATGGGTAGTGCTTATATTAGAGTAATGTCGCGAACAGCGTAAAGAGCGTGAAAAGGGGGAAGGTCTTGTTAGGGTAAACCATGGATATCTTTGAAGCGTTTTTTCAGGCTTCAATTTTACAAAATAAGCTTTTGGAACATAAGCATGTGACGTTTGAACCGTAGGTTTATGACTATATGACGGCGTAGTATGAAGTGGGGAATGTTTGGTTCTAGCGTTAATAGTGACAGATCTTCTAGATATAGAACGAGAGTGAATGTTGATGGCTGCTGGACAGCGAGACCATAATTTTGCTAGCGATTGTCCTTCATTCAAGAAAAAAAAAGTGCGACTATTTCTTACAGCTTTTGTGGAATATACATTATTCGTAATGTTTCTAAAGAACTGTCTTGAAATATTCTGTGATGTATTCTCAAATTTATCCAAAGTATATAATCCGCTAGTTTTGGTACAACGCATCACATTTCTTTCTAGTAATATATTTATGCCTCTTAGCCAGAATCTTCCTGGACTCATCAACTGTGTCAGCAAGCCCATAATATTCCAATAAGCTTCTTCCTGTGTCTAATCTGTCTTTATTTCGTTTTTTTTTCCATTCGAAAGATTTCTCGCAATCTCTGAGCGACGATCGACGATCAATTAACACACACGTGAGCTCATGAGGGAGGACAAGTGCAAAACGGGATAAGCTAGTATTACAAATTTGTTGTAGTCATTCTAATTCGGACGTCAGAATGCGGTAACAATCTTTTCTCCATCACTCTCGTCGATGTGATACACATTCGCTTGTGTGGTTTTATAGATACAGATTCTAAAGCAAATGGTAAAATCAAGACATTAACACGAGCGAAACTTTTGCTGACTCGCGCCTTTTTGCATTGTTATTTGGCTATAATAATTCTTAAAAATGAAAATCATGGCAAGCAGCCATATTGAAACAGTCATTTTAGCAAAGTAGAATTTAAAATCCGGGCGCAATTTGGACAATAGTTTTTCTAATCACTATATTCTTCATGTTTTTACTTTGACAAGAAATATATAAGTCAAAGGTTCCACTGAAATAATTTCACTGATTCAGCATCTGCTCTGCATGTTTAATAGTTCATTCGGCGTTTGTGTAGAATCTAACTACATCTTCATGGTTATTCAGAGACACAAGGAACTTCTCGAATTGACCTACTTTCTCCTCATCTCCACTAATTTGTACAGTATCCGTCGGAATATACTCTACCCTCATCTTGGTGATTTCGTACCCTGAAGCGAGAGACGACGCGATAGCTGATATTGACGTCGGAGCACACATTATCTAGTTAGAAGTAGAAGCGAAGAATTAGATAATGCCCATGTGTTATGAGCATATTTATTACTGTTCAAGTTAATTGTAGATGACATGCCTCTAGCACGTCTTGATCCAACTCTCGTATGTCTTCCACTCCTTCGATTTCAAGTGACTTTTCCATCATGACGTCTATTGTGTCTTCGGTAGTACCCTTGGTAAATCGGACTATGCCTTAATAAGAAAGTGAAAAGGCTGTGTGAGTGTTTCTGGCAGAACTATATTGTCAGACAAATTGCCATTCACCTTTTCTGTCAAAAATCCAAGACACTTCTGAGATAGACCCACTATATTTGATCCAACGCGAATACCAAATCTCAGCTGTGCCACAAAATTACCAGTACTCACATTCTAATACAGTTAATACATGATTTTTTAAATTCACCTCCTACCCGAATTTGGCCAGTAATGCTTTGATTTCTTTAACAGTTCTATTTCTGTTGTCCGTCGCTGTTTCTCTTCCGTAAAACGTTAACATGTCAGCAGATCGTAATTACGATGGCCAATACGTGAACAACTATATGGTAATCATATGATATACAGAAACGCCAGTATTACATTATAAACGCAGTGCCATTGGGACCGTACGCTTCGTAAGTGACCCTTTCAATCGAGGTTCCATCCTTTGATTGCCCTGCGCCCTTGTAATAGTGCGAATTCAATGTCAAATATGCGATGTCTAGCAGAGAAACATATGATGGCAATGCAAACATACACGTTTTATAGCATTATCTATAGTCTCTTTTGACATTTGAGATTTCTTAGCGGTTGCTATTGCAGTTGCTAGTCGAACGTTCAGCGTAGGGTCTGTTGATCCGCCCTCTAAGATTGATGATATTCAATGTGGCTATTCAATCGAATCCGTACGTACATTTCACTTATAATAAATTATGCTTCTTGACCATACCTTTCACTGCTAAAGATATATCCTTTGCCAATCGATGGAAATTCGTGCTCCTTGCTGAATCCTTCATCCCCTTCCCATGTCTTATCTTACTCCATTTATTATGACCAGAAAAACGAACTTGATTTCTAATTAAATAAAATGCCGGTGGTAATTGGAAGTTTGGTGATGAGAACAAGAGCAAAGTGGATCGAGATGTCGGAATATGTAACAACGGGTGTAGCAATAGGCGAGACATGGTGGATCAAAGGACAAAATAAAACTATTCCAGTGATCAGCAAGATTTATTCACACGTGCTACCAAATTCTTAACGTGTTATTAATATATAGTAATAGATATCGCGAGGAACTTTTATTCACAACGAGTTATTAATATATAGAACACGTCTAGAATAAATTCCTGACCGCTTTGTACTCGAATTCCGTCGATATGGTATGCTGTAGACTGTCAAAGAATGTTACTTTGCAAAGAGTTATACATCGCTTCATAACTCTCTGCGAATCTGGATTTACACATGTTTCAGGCACGTTGGACTGCAATAAACCAGGCGATAGACGAAACTCCGGAACCTATAATAGTCCCAAATCAAAAAGTCGGTGTTATGGTATTCTAAACGATCAATAGATATGAATGATTAAAATGAACTGATCATGTCTACTTGTCCAAAGCATACCGAAATCATGGAGACCTATAATTACGCGCTTGGGCTTATGTCTAATGAGCACTGGAAAAAAGCGTAAGAAGTATTTGAGGGCTTGCTTCGCAAGGAGGGATTTGCCAATATGTCTGTAGAAAAGGTAATCGTGATATTTATTAACGCATTTCGATTAGCAAACGATGCTTATTTTTATATTATCCTATCCACCTCGTGATTAATACGTTATCGTTGCTTGCATAATTACTCGCCTATATTGATGAACACATTATTCGTAGTTTGATGGCATGAATTGGTCTCAAGCTGATGTCTCTGCTCGCTTGTACGTCGCGGTCTGTAAGAATTATGCACGAGTATTAGAGATGATATGGGAGAAGGACAATGAGGCATCTGTTGCTCGTAAAGCAATGGGGCTGTACGAGCGGGTAAATATTTCCTCCGATGGTTTAAGTCATGGTATTATCGTCGTGCTTAATTACATTATTTTTGCGCTAAAATAGAGTCTTAACGTTGACCCGAGTGACTATGTCACCTGGTACAGACTAGGTGTGCTTGGTCTAAAACTAAGATATCCGTCTCCGGCCGTTATCGAGATGTTTTTCAGACAGGCAATGGAATTATCTGAACCAACGACATCTCCTGTGTACATTCTTAGTCTATGCGAGACTGTGCGGGTATTTATCAATCTAATATAAACCGAATAAACTGTCATTATACAACCTATTTATCAAAGTGTCTTAGCTCTGTTGGGATTTGGGACGCTTCGAAGCTGGGCTGAAATTAGCCGAAAAAGGTTTGCAGACGGAGCCTAATTTCAAGGAGCTGAACATACTCAAAGAACAGCTGGAGAAGACTTGGGCATGGTCACCAGAAGACCCGTAAGTGTCATCATTGCTTGGTTGGTATGAGAAACTGGCAGTAAGATGGTGCGATACAAGAGACGTAGTGGTAATAACACTGATGGTAATAATGGGCATAGCATGTAATATTAGGCTTAATATCATTAATCTTGCAATTAATTTGTTCATTTACCTCCTTTTGCTGTTATGAAGATTAATCTACAGTTGGTTTATGTCTAATGTTCTGATCTGGATGTTGTCACTTGTAGTGAGACATTTGTTCATCGTCCTCACCTATCCCACCAATCTCATAATCACATTACTCGACGAGCTTGGCCCACTGGTAATAACTGGAGACTTTTCGTATTAGGACTCAAAAGCAACGTATGAACACGGAATACATCATTAACCATCAATTGGTCATTTTTTTAGTACGCGCTGATGAAGTCTCTTTCGCCGAACATTCCTATGAGCTCGATTTATGCACGTGGAAGGGGCTAGGAGAACTACTGTTAAAAGTATATGATACCTGCACACAGACAACGTTAGTCTAAGTTTTTGGAATTGCGCGCTGTGTTTACCACGTGCTTTCAACATACAATTTGTTTATATTCCCATAGATTAAGCAAGGAAGAGAAAAGGTCAGATGACCATGTTGTATTAATCAATATCAAACCGCATACATACGATTCAATGGAATTCTGGCCACCCAATTTGAAAAAGAGAAAGAGTAATGTAAACACAAGGTAAGTGTATTGTATCTGTGTATAATCTTATTCTGTACACTCACTTACATTTATTCATTCATTATTTAGAACAACGTCCAAACGTGCTCGTCGTAACAGTGGGATCTCTAGTGGCCCCAAAGCGTCAGGAGACAAAACAGAAGATGAGTCAAAAGCCAATTTCATAAACGAGCTGGAGAAAATTGTAGCTCCAATTGATGAGGGACTGCTCATGTCAGTTAAAGAGCAAGATGAAATAATGAAGATAGAGCTGTTCATGGATAGACTGGAAAATATGTGGGTATCAGCAGCAGCGGACGAGTTTATAAACATATCTGGATTGTTGGAAGAAAATGAATGTAGACAGAGGTGAGTAGGTGATATGAGTTGATAGTGGCGCATACGAGACACATTAATCATACATATAATTTACTGATAGTTCCAACACTAGACGTCGCTTTATCTACTATACGAAAACAAGTCCATCACCTGAACCAGTCATTCTCTCAACTAACTCAGTACAACAGCTTGTTATAAGTCTCAATGAACGTAAAACCACGATAAATGTCTGGATGGCTGTTTATCTCCTTAATCTATTCGCGTATCATCCTGGCGCTGAGTCCTCTGACTGCAGGTCACTATGGTTTTCTGGATGGCCAGATGGGATGGCTGAAATAGTATTGCGTGTTTTGAACAGTTGTCATCGAACACTTTTACAAATATTGTGTGATGAGCAGAAGAGAATAAATAAAGATAGCGCATATAAGTGGATCAGAGAGGGTTTATTAAGAAGAAGTGAGAAATGTGAAATTGATAATAGCGAGTTTAGAAGGATGAGAGAATTAGCTGAAGTAAGTAATTGAATAAACGAATATGTTCAGATACGCTCCTGAGTTGATTCTAATTCTTATTATTATTATGACATACTGCTACGATATCTTAATAGATAGCCGTTGGTTTGTGTGAATTTCTGGTTGACCAGAGAACATCCCTACTACAAGAAGACAGATGCGAGCAATCACCGTGTGTAGATGAGTTAGAACGTCAGCCAATACACGTAAGTGCTCTCTCTCACAAAGAGTTTTTCCCTCAAAATAGTTATCAATTTTTTTTACTACAGGAAGAATACTGTTTATACGAAGAACTCTTCAAGTATGCGGACGACAAACTGTGCGACATTCAGGCCGTTGTAGAGCAAATCGTGGCACTTCATGATCCGACAACACTTGACGATCAACGCAACACTATGGTAAAGCAGCTATATTATTATTATAGTGAATGGAGCAGAATAACGCAATTGAGGTACATATGCTGAATCAATGATAATTTTTTGTTCGTTTGTAATACTAATTACACCACTTACATTGTTTATCATCCTTCTGTTACAACCACAGAACGACTTGGAGTAATGTTTACGTTGCTCTCTCATATAACAACACCAAATCAGCAACATTACTACTGTCTGCATGTAAATCAATAGTAACTACACAGGACAGTATATATATACCCAACCGGTAATATTGCAACTTTTCATGTATTCAACAAATACATCTCTTCATATTTTAATATAACCTTCCATACATGCATTACAATTATCAATCACGGTTTGCAGTACATGGAATCCATTACTTGATCTATCAAAAATCCATGAACTGGAACAATGTCTCCTTGCAGAAGAGAAATCTCCAATAGAAGCAGAATGGATATGCGCAGTCAAAACACTCCATGACCTCGTATTCAGAATGTATACTAAACAGGATGAAGACTTGGTGGAATCACCAATAACACCGACATTTCAGCAAGTGAACACTCAATCAAACGCTCAACCATCACAGCAAGAAGTGCGAACCCAACATCCCAGAGGTCGTCCTCCGCGGGATATAGCAGTTCGCGAGTTCTGGGAGCAGATTTTACATCTTAACAATGAACTCAAGAGAGTGGCAGAGTTGATCAAGAAGAACAGCCTCAAAATTGCAATGTTACCTGATGAAGACGTAGTTAGATTCAGGCAAACAATATCGGTTCTTCATAACATATGCATACATATACTATTTTCAGATGAATCAAGGAATTATGATTATGATCTCACACCGGTTGCCGATATTATTGCTGCATTTATTGTGAGAGTATATATCGTTATATGCCGTATACTGAAGAATGAGCCAACAAGAAATGGAGTTGAGTTTAATAGATGGTTGATGATGGAGAAATATTTTGATCTAGTGCACGATGCGTTGGCTGAGAATTGGATGTGCTGCGCCGATGAAGGTAAGAACGCATTTGAGAATGTCAGAGATAAGTTGGTAAATGGTAGCCCTTCAACAAATGACGAGAACATATATATCATTTTTTTAATTTATTAGGTTCGTTTCTGAAAGCAGTTCTCAGAGAATACTATGAAACTGATATTCGAATAGAAACCCAAGAACTTTTATGCTGCTACTGCTTATACAATATACCTCCTCCAAATGACTCTGATTTGGAGAAACATAAGAATTATGGCGACAAAACGAAAAGTGTAGAATTCAAGGACTTGGGTGACATCGAGCCTGTATTTAGAGTTATAGTGAAGACGCAGTCGGAATGGATAAAAAGCGCAACAGCAAGGAATGCAGTCAAAGACATATTGGATGTAATTGCCACGAAAGTATCGGAATATGATAAGGCAGATAGAGGTAAAAAGAAGACATAGTTATGTATGAGGGCAAAATTATGAATTGCGTCTTATAAATTAACACATTGGGTTTCTGTAATCTTTCTAGTAGGAGGGGAGACTGGGAGAGGGCTTATGAGAGAAGTGTATAATTGTAGACAATGGTTACAATCTTATCTCGGCAGTTCCATTCAATTCTACAAAGCAATAAATCTGGAATACACAGGAGAGTTATTGTCGCCAATGCGATGTAGGCAGAACTACACACTTTCACTCGGTGAGTGGTATATCTGATTGTATATTACGGCGATAATCCTGATAGTGACATTTCGTTACCACTATATTTCCCATTACTCATCCAAACTATCTATTGTAGACCATATTAATAGTCATTTACATTATCTCCGCGGTAAGATCCGTCTCCATTCTGTTAAAGCACGTTCAAGACATAACGCTGCAAAGGCGAATGATCTTATAGAGAGAGCAATAGAAGTCCACGAGGTACGTCTACTCAAAATAACTGTCCGGCCTTTTTCTTTTCAGTCTTGTGATGGTCACCTTCTAAACTTGATATATATATATGTTCTATTTCATACAGGAAGATATTGCTTATAACCCAGAAAGATTTGCATCATGGTATGCGCTAGCATATCTTTATTCCTGTCTAGCTGAAGAAAAGTTGATTTATTCGGCAGTTGAAATCAATCGTAACTTCATAAAGATAGCCGAATACCAAAGAGTAAGCACGGACAACAAGAAATGAAATACAGCTAAAATTATCGCTAAATATTCTTTCTATTTCAAACATAGAAAGCATTCCTATGCTACGCTCAATCGGCTCATACTCTAAAACTCTGCCCAATTTTCAATGACCAACCACAAGCACCTATAGAGGACCAGTTTAACTTTTGGCGCGGCTACGGTTATCATGTGTATTCGATGATAGCCAAACCAATGCGCATGGCAGCGTTCCGGAAGGACCATTTAGCAAACATGAACGTCGATGTATATACATGGGCCGCAAAGTGTTTTGGAACTGCGTTTGCATTTGAAAGGCAGATTTGCGATCAGAAAGATTGGACGTAAGTGTAGGGAAGAAAGCTTAGAGGGAGAAGGACATAATGCGAAGGGGATGGTGAAAACAGCGCTTTACTTAAGTAAACGATACGTGTTATCAAATAGGCTTCCATATATGCTCGCAATGTGCTCATACAAGATTTTGGGCGACGCAGTCGTAAGTATACTTTATTTTCTTTGTAACTTAACAGAGGCTTATCAATCATTCCTCACTTTTAATACAAATAAGGATGCAAGTCGTTCAAAAAAAATACTTCGTCTGCTCAAAGTATCAGCAGCTCTCACTCCCCAAACGCTTGATCGTAACAGTGAGATTATTGTCCTTGAGCCACAGTATAAATTGCTAAGCGTCCTCACCAAGTATTATCTGAAGAACTTGTTTACGGTAAACTGTTTATTTAATAGATCATTGTATTAACTTCAATATGAAACTACGGAATTTATACATTAACTTTTTGTATGCTTCATATTTTGTTCATTATCATTTTATTAGGCTAGCGATGTCTGTGACTGTCTTGAGTCTGATCATTCAGATGAGTCTTATTCCCGTCCTATATCAATTCCCGACGGCAGGGATGCTATGATAGGATATTTCATTGATCAATACGAAGCACTTCGTACTCAAGATACTGGGGGCTGGTACCATCGTCCAATATACAAGGTGAGTGATGAGCTACGAACGTATCATGTCAATTATTATATTCACTAATAACGAGCCTTCTACGGAATTATGCCTAATACTATTGTCTGTTGATGTCTTCGGATCTAGGTTGCAATGCTTAAGGCACTTTTAGGAAGATATGAAGAAGCCAAGAGTGATATGCAGAATTTGGTACAAGTCAAGGCAAAGAGCGTTATTAACGTATGGAAGAACGAATTTGAGAGGTAATGAGCTAGCGTTGATGGTATGTGCTTCTATGTGATAGATGCTACATCATAATCTCTTTATTATTAAATCGTAGGCCAGGAAGACACTTCGTTTACGTACAGCAGTATATAGTTTTTCTAATTGAACTTCTAGATAAGACAAACGACCTAGAGCTTCTTCGACTTCTCGAGCATAAAATTCGCAACTGGAGGAATGTTACATTAGATCTTTCGGCAATAGATGAGAATTTACGCAAGGCCAAAACACGGTTAATGCTGGAGGAGAGTCGTGCTATGGCGGAGCGAGTGCAGATCAAACAAGAGAATATTACCGTGTTTACAATATAGATACAATTTCTCACAGCAAAAATTTTTATGTTGGTTTTCATAATAATAATGCAGATTGTGAGTAATATCCTGTTGGCATTATCTAATAGTATAGAACTTCACATGGGGTTAGATATATAATTTCGAATGATCAATGTAGCAGACACCTTTTTTTTTTCGGGAGAGTTTTGCTTCGCGTGCGCTAGTTAGTCTATAGCGATTAAATCTGTGATCGACAGGCCGATCACTTAAATAAAAGTCAAACCTTAATACTTAATAGTGCAATAGATCTTATGTTGTTGACTTTTGTCAACTGCCGCGTTATTTGATTGATATGACTGAAACAATGGAAGATCGCTATATTGTTGATGATATCACTGCTGTCAAGGTAGAGAATGTGGGTATCAACATGTTGATTCAGTCGTTCGTCAAGACCCGTTACTTTTGGTAATCTATTATATACTTCAATGTTCTCATTCCTTTACTCATTCATTCCTGCTTTGCACAGAATAAGGAATATTTTTTGGTGAAATGGGAGGGATTCACAAAAGAAACGTAAGTCTTTCTTCGCTCATATTATTCTTTCCTACCACATAACCCCTGCTCTTAAATTCACAACGTACGTTGTTCTTCTGTTTAACTACTCTTGACTAATTAATGTATTAGTTGGGAACCACGCGAGAATCTGGATCACTGTGAAGAGAAACTTGCTCGCTTCTATGAAATAATGCGTGATTCCAATCTCGACAAGGACTGGCAATTACAGAGACATTTAACAAAAGATGGAACAGAATTCGAGACGCGAATGCACCGAGCATATCATGAGAGTAAATTATTCGACAGCGCTGCATATGATAACTGCATATTGAAGAAAGGTGTCAGCGAACAGCAGAAACGTGATGCTGGAAAACGGATTGAAGAGATACAGTGGATAGATTTGAATGTTAAAAGAAGAAAATAAATTGTCGCCTATTTAGAAGATGGTGCATGGATGACATGGGACTATCTATGAGGGTGAGGTTGGTCTTCATAAATGAGAGAATGTGGATATTGTTTGCTATGTTCGGATACTGTTTCGACAGACTTGGTTCTTAAACAGTATATGATTTGCACGGTCGAAGACGCATTTATTGAAGAGGATATTGTATAATTTGAGAATATACAAAATCCCTACATACTCTTTACATAGTTATTGATAAGTACAAAAATAATTCGATATCGTTTACTTTATAGGCGGCGGTATTACATTTCTCGCCGTTCTTCCATATTCTTCGCTCGTTGTCCAACATCCATGTGCCCGCTATCCCCCATTGGTATCCGTTATTCCTCGTAACCAACACTCATGTCATTACTTTGACAATGAACAAGTTTCCAAAGAAGAAGACCAGATACAAGTAATAGGAACGATGCCATCAATGTACGCACGGCAATCTTTTTGGGGGTTCTTCTCTCTTCCTTATATATGAAATACCCGTTTAAAGGAGTTTCTGGTGGACTATTTCCATCGAGCTCTTCGAGAACGACCACATGAGTGTCAGATGGATAACCGAATGATGGAATTGCTCTGAATGGGTGATCTGTGTATCTTTCTGGAATGTCTGTTGATGCACTGGTTGATAGCGGTAAGTAGCCAGGCAGTTTGGACATTTTGAGAGCAGGATATTTGTTGAGAAGATGAATTGCTTCAATTATCGAACAATCCGTAAGTCGCGTAATAATAATGGTTATGTGAATATGGCGATCGGTGGAGAAAGCTCAATGCTTGTCGAACATGTAAACCGTTATTATTTATATAAAGTGTTGGAGCATTCCACCCACATTCAAGTTCTCACACTCACAGAATCGTCACGCTCCATGAGAAACAACACTGTTCAATATGCACGGCGCTGTTCGATTGCATTTATTGTGTTGTGCAACAATCACTTTGCAGTTGGTTACAACATACGGAATGTTACAATGAGGGAAGCTATGCAAGAAACCATTGGGGTTGCTGTTCTGGAATCATGAACTAGGAATTCGATGAAGAAACGATATATAAAAGAGATGTTGAAGCATGCTTCTAATAACTGCAATAGGTTAAACAAGATCCATGTCAATCATAGTTATCCGCAGACGCCAGACTATCATATTACGTAAATAATAGCACTGTGAGACTATTTCGCAACTACTATTTTATACTTTAGATAACCAGATATCTACAGTGAACTACTGTCTACAGTCCCTTCATTTATAGTCACACCATATGAAACTCTGTCTGTAAAATCACACTCTCCTACATTCTCTCTAGTGCCAGTTTCATAATAGAACTTACTGTCTATAGTATAATCCCGCATTGTACCAAAATGGTGTGACTATAGACGGTAGTTCGCTGTATTCGGTGCAACAACTTTTTAATCGAAAAATCACGTAGTCCTGTTATTATTATACTGTACTAGTAGTAAAAAATATGAAAAATCGAAATTTCAAGTCGCTAATTCTCCATATTTTCTCAAACAAGTACCAATAAACTTTACACCATTTTAAAGCTAAATGATTGTAGTTTTAATTGAAAGATATCAGCAATTTTAAGATATTACTGCTGCGGTGTGAGGAGGATATGAAAGCTTCACTCGCTTAATTACTAGTAAATGATCGACGTAAAGTATTTATACCTTTGGCGGTTATCGTTATTATTATATACGACAATCGTCAAGATTTTAAAATTGCTGATATTTCTGAATTAAAACTACAATTATTTAGCTTTAAACTGATATAAATTTTATTGGTACTTGTTTAAAAAAAATTAGAGAACTAGCGACTTAAAATTTTCGATTTTTTATATGTTTTACTAGTAAAATCTTGTATATACTTTGTATATCCACATGCTGGGATTGTCACAATTATGTGCTTATTTGTCTGATTTAAAAAGGTTAAAACATAACTTTAAAAACATATCGTCACACAGTGGCTTTGAGAACACTACAATGGTACAAGGAAATACTTTCGGCTACACCTTACAAACATCAAAACGCATTTCTCTGCCATTCTCGGGGTATACGGGCAATGATACAGCTGTTACGAAGAAATAAAGTCGCAAGGACATGTATTATACTACTGCAACCACAGAAACACGCTCCTCTATATTCTCCTTCGTTATTGGCACGGGGGATGCCCGGAACACTATCACGACATACGTTCGTCCGTCGATTAGCTACGCTTGCGACAGAGTCTGCTGCTAATTCAACCGCTGTACGTTCTGGTCCCATCAATAAAGCGTTTTGCCTTCTCTGCTTTAGCTCATTTTTCCTTGCTATGATGTCTCTTCTCCCCCGTGTAGCCACCAGTCCATCATGCCCAATTTTTCTTCGACAACGTTTATCCACTCAAACTCAACGCATTTGATTTTCGATCATACATATCCCGCTTGAGTAGACGTTCCCTTGAGACAAAATTAAAGCAGAACAAGTGGCTCCCGCCGGAGAATGAATTACCTTACGAGTTTAAAATTGAAGGAGTGGTGCCGAGGTAAAAAACGTGTCCTCAGAAAGAGCGCGTCGAGAGTTGCGATTATCGAAGCGCTGAGTATATCTACATTTATGTGAAGATGGTCAATGTCATAATGGATCATTCTTTATTATTCATTGGAACATTAATTAGACGAAAAGAAGGTGGCATGTTTGTGAAATTTACATATCGAGTAGATGAAGCAAGCAAAGACATCGCATTAAAAGAGATCCATGAAACCGTTGAAAATTTTGTCGAATCAAAAAGTATTATTCCATGGTTTAATTTTTATCCGATGAGAGTGTTTTTAGTAAAGGTTGGTATTACTTCGAAAGGGTTTATTGTACAAAGAATGCTTCTCGCAGAAGTGAATGTATGAACTAACTAATGCAAATAAGGGTGAACCTTTATTAGAAGATATGGCTGGTCGATACCCCGCGAGGTTAGATAATTTTTTATATTATGAGTTGTTCTTTGCATTTTATATGATGTCAATTATCCATAATATGCAATTCGATTAGATAACGTGTCTGAGTGGTGTAAGATTTTTGTTATATGAAGCATTATTGTTGTCTACTTACAACGTTGAGACATTATTTCAACTCACGACACGGACATTATTCATTTCTGTGATCGAGTAGAAAGGGTAAACTCCATCTTAGCAATCACCTTTCTGACAATTTTAACTTCTATTTGCGTAGTCTAAATTGTAATTAATTAATAATATTATCATTATGTTTCGGCTTGTCTTGATCATTATAGCATTTTGTGATGACTCAGAAATATCGATTTATTGGGCTTGAACTTTTTCGCGCGCGCAATCAATACGATCCATTTGGCTAATGAATCTAATATCTCATCTGCACAGACGTTTACGTGTTATATTTGAAGGATCGGATGTATTATCTATAGTAAGTATTCACACATAGTGAATTTTCGATAAACAAAGAAATTATATAAGGTCACCGTCGTAACCTCTTCATTCCGGATTTTACACAGGACTCGCTCTATCATACCTTTCGACGTTATGGCAGAATCCGTGATATCACAGTTCAACCCCTTTCAATAAAAGATACGCCACGCTTTGCTATGATAATATTCACTCGTATACGATCAGCCACCAGTGCGAAAAGTTGTGTACATAGGATGGTTGTAGATGGAACGAGGTTAAGCGCATTTTATGATAGAGTAGTGGTAAGGAACAATTACTAATTGAACTGGGTTTTTTGAGGAGAGCAAGGGATTGATATCTTCGTTGCATTTCCCATAGATAACGAATGTGATTTATAAGTGGATGACAGCGCATCCTCGTATATCGGTAAGTCTAATAGTGTGATTAATATACCTACCATAATTACTTTGAACTATTCCTACGTATAGATGTTATGTGGGTTATAGGTGCAAATCACAATTAGCTTGAAAATTTATGAATTTAGTTCAAATGATATGAATTTTATTGATATTGCATCAGAAACACAATGATGAAAACGAAGTATTCACGTACCTATTTCTTTGCAGATTCCATTGATAGCCGCCTTGATAGCAGGCATATCATATATAATGTAAGTATTAGTGTCTTTCTTTCCGCTGGTTTCTTTCAACCCAGGCTTTATTCACCTTTTTTCCCCCTCGATCTTAGCTTCGACCCAATCCGTACCTTCTTTATTACTTCCAAAATCACTCAGCGCTTCAGCATTCAAGAATACCCTCTCTATCAATGGCTTCGAAAAGAGACAATAGATAGGTTTTGGGCATACCGAAAGAATTCTGATGAGGATGGTTCTCTGCACGACGTCAGCATGTGGTCAGAAAGAGTAGATGAAGAGATGAAACTTAGAAGTTGGTTGAAGGAGCCACCTGGTAAGAACATAACTGCGCTCGCTATTGTTAGAGAACATAAACGAATACTTCATGTAGTTTGAGTACCGCAGTAGTGAAGACAATATGTAATTTGAGGAAGAGTGGTATTTAATTCTTTGTCAATATCCAGAGACGTTCATTGTCGTTCTTGGACCAAGAGGTAGTGGGAAGAGTGAATTTATTGATAAGGTCATTCAGAACAAGAAGTAAGGTTTACGAATATATACCATCTTATTTGTTTACGGTTATTTGAGCTTTTGATTTACTATATCCTATTCAATAGAAATAAAGTATTCATAAGATGTGATCATCTTCTGAATTCACGTGATGAGAATGAACTTGTCTACAAACTAGCCAAACAAGTTGGCTACTTTCCGCTATTCACGATTTTCGTGGCTCTTTCTAACATAATTGATACAGTCGCTAGCGCTACAATTGGACAGAAGACTGGTAAGAGTTGATTTTTCAATTAGCTTGTGTCTAATTTCTTTTACGATTATTCTCTTCTATCGATGAATAAAAGGATTTACGTCAACGACTGACGCCGAAGTAAAGCAAATCCTCGATGTTCTTGCACTGGCTCTACATAGAATAGCTCCGGATGCGCTTACCAAGCGATCTCGACGCCCAAATCGCAGCTCGCCTGGTTTATACAAATCTTCTATTGTGGATACATACGATTCGGATGATATTCCTATTCTTGTAATCGATAGTTATATGACTAAGGATAAAGAGAGTCATGAATTATGGGAGCATCTGACAAAGCTTGCTGTATTTCTGATCGAGAACAGGGTAGCACATGTTATTTTTGCTAGTTCTAATACGGCTATTAACAAGACTCTGAGCAAAGGTACGTATCTTCTATTTGACAGATTGAGCTTGTAAGCACGTAAATCGAACAATCAATATAACGAACGTAGAAGATACACAATGTTAACTTGTTTCTGATCATCACTCGTCTTAGCACTCCCGTATAAAACGTTCAATCACGTGATTCTCTCAGATGCACCTCCTGAGAAGGCCATAAAGCTCGTCCGCCGTTATGTAGACTTTGTTGACAAACGTGAATTAGAGGACTCAGTCGTGGCACTTGGCGGTAGGCTTACGGATCTCAAAATGTTCATAAAGAAGATAAGAGATGGACAGACACCTCAGGGTATGTATTTGTTTAAGATTAGAGATTAACGATAAGATCTAATGTGTATACGGATCTAATCGAATCTCTGATAGGCGCTTTTCGTGAACTGCTGGCAAAAGCCGTTATGGAAATCCGTAAGCTCGCGTTCGGAGACGATACGGAAGATGCGAAGAGCATACCATGGACTGGAGTTCAGTTCTGGAAGGTCATTGTTGAATTGTCTAAATGTGGAAACGTAAGTGCTTGATAACAATAAGCTGAACGTGTTGTTAGTGTGGAGAGGAGCACTAAGGGAATGTAGTAAATAGATTCCGTTTCTAACGTATATTATCCCGATGTCTATTAAGGTTGACTATGATTCAATAAAATATTCTCCTATGTTCAAAGGGGACGACACGCCATTAAAAGCAATGGAAGAGGCGGAACTTATCACAATAATACAGCACTATGGTAAGCGAATTGCACTCATTTACTATTCATTGCATTTCTTATTGGTCCTTCTTATTTTGCGTGTATGCTGTTCAAGTCTTGATTGTAACTTTTTTTCTGTATCGTACAAATATATATACGCCAATACGCTAATTATTACTCACTCAATTTTTTGCTATCGGACAGGTTATCCATACATCATCCGTCCAGGAAAACCACTTTATCAGACAGCATTTTCTGAAATTATTGCTGATGACCACTTTGCCGCTATCATGGAACTTCAAATGAATCAGTATCTTTCTGCATTTGAAAATGCAAAACTACAACAATATGAAGATGAGATGGGGAAGTTAGCGATATGTTTTACAAAAGATGGAAAACGTCTGTTAGGAAGTGGGTCTGCTGCACCAGGAGACAGAATGAAGTGGCTAGCTGAGAATGTTGGTAAAAAGCATGTGTTGATTGCTGAATATGAAAACAAGGTTCGTTCGTTGAAGAAAGAAGTTGCTGATCGCACACCAACCCAACCAACTTTTTAATGTTAGATACATAAGGAATGTTTATTTCCAGCATCATATTGTTCAGATTGTTTATTTAAGTATATCTTGCGCCCTTTATTATCTGAAATACTGTTGAATTGTCTCATTTCTTGAAGCAGCGGCTATATCTAAAAATACCGTATCGGGGCTATAGAAACTCACTATAATGATATAAGAATATTAGTTGTTACTTTGATTCAACTCTATAAATTAAAAGTTCATAATATTGGAGAAATCACGCTAAAGATTAGTAGCGCGTGACTCGTATTTAGTTTACCCGTCGGCAATAATGTTACCAATTATATGTTGATACACCAATAAGTGTTAATAGTAAATTCTTCGATTTCAATAATTATTATTATATATTGTTAACTTTTTGTTGGGGGGCTTATGGAGTGTCAATAAGGTTATTTGTCGACACTAATCCTCGCTTACCATGTCGGCCTCAACTGTGGAAGCCTATAGGTTTGCTATCTAAATTGTTATTTATTTACTTAGACGAATAGTAATCGTAATGCCACCAGGAAGTATAAAATATCCTTAACCGATAGAGAGAACTAAAAGGAAGGAAGTTGCGCTACTAGTTATCTAAATAGTGTTGTGCTCGCTCGCAACTACTAAATGTTCGTGGCTAATCCCGATGTAGGCAACGATTGCAATATCTAATCTTGCCGGAGCTGCGCAGGATATAGTAATATGGTTGCTTCATTGGGAGAAATTGCAGCTAGAGTTAACCTTACTTTTATCACTATTTATTATTATATTGAGCGCTCTTCGCGTAAAATTATATGAGATTGAGCGATCAACAAATTAAGGTGCTGGACTAGTTTACGATTCGAAGAATTGTTATGTAGGTGATGAGAATAAGCGTGCAAAGTTTACGTAAGAAGAAAGCTTTTTGCAATCTTTGACAAACAAAAATATATAATTGGCTATCACAGTGGCTGACGACACCTGACACGTCTTGACGCGTCTTTCCCTGGTTCAAAGACACGTTTATTAGGTATTCATAGCCTCATTGCTTAGTTATAAAGTGCTTGTAAATTGTGTGTTTTGCGCTTTATGTGTTTATATTATAACACAGATATTAGTTAAACTTATGTTGCTTTCTGCTTCCAAAGCATCTAAACTTTTAGGCGTTTCAGCTAGTACACAACGTGTTTTTCAAAGCGTCTTGTATCTCAATGTCAATATTTATCATACAAGCATGCTGGTATGTCAATCACGTAATTTTTCGTTTTGACTTGACGTGGTCTTATTGTGTGCGTGTATGTGCATATCTGTATTGGGGAAATGAATGATTATACGCTGATTTTGCATATACAGTAATAGCGCTC